AACGGTGAAACCTGATGGCGCTTAAATGACCAAAATTGTGTCGATAGTGCCGTAAAACATCTACCCAATCAATCAATCAAATTATTTGTGTTTTGGGTGGGGTGTGTTTTATTATGGAGTGCTGACTCTGATATGACTATAACGGGCCGGAGAGGGTGCAATCATCTCTTGACTTAGCCATGTATTCAAGTGTTTTTTAAAGATGAACTTGCGGGTCGTTGGAGGGCGCCACTGGTAGGTCCTACTTCATCACTTTCCTTCTGTTATTTTTGTCTGTCTGTCTTATACGGGGTGCCCATTGCGGATGGGATCGGGTCTGGTCAGGTCGGGTGTGGATGATCGCCCGACTCTTCACCTGAAAACAAACGAGTCGGGTGCGATCGGCATGTCCCACGATAACCGTTTTGCGCCCTCAAGTTGGCTGGCAAACCGACCCGATCCCCCGTTGGGCACCCTGTATTACTTTTCCTCAGCACTAAATGACCATTATTATGTCGATGTGATTCTCTTTACACAAACAACAATAAACTTGTTTAGTTTTAGTAGAGATTTTACTTCGCGTCCAACTGCATAAGGTCATATGCTGATGAACCCGGTAATGAGTTGTTGTTTTCTTTGGCATGCCCACCTGACAGCTGATTGCGGTGTTTGAGGAGCAGGACCGTGCGTCCATCCAGCACAATGGCGGGGATGGCGCCAGTGCCAGTTCCACGGGGACCGTCAGCCCGGACATCTTTCACGGGCTGGGCGAGGACGGGGGTCCTGTGCGGGCTGACGGCGTCCACCCGGCCGCTGCAGCCCTGGCCGTCTTCCCACCGCCGCGGCACAACAGCAGCAGCAGCAACAACGCCTCTACCGACGTGGTGGTCACGCCCCGGGACCTCTCCATAGGTCAGTCTCTTGTGACTTGTAATTTAAGCGACTTGTGACTCTTGACTTGTGACTTGTGACTTGTAACCTTGTGTATGTGAGGATGGTTGGCATGAGGTGCTCTGTTGTTGTGTGCTTCTTCTATCGTCCTTATCTCTCCTTCTTCTTTTTTTTGTATGTTGCTCTCTTGTAACCACTTTTTCTCGGCACTTATATGACCTTGTGTTGCAAGTGCTGTAAAACTCTTACTAAAACTAAATAGGTGAGTCTCTTGTCTCTTGTGTCACTTGTAACATTGTGTGTGTGGGGGTGGTTGACGGGTGCTCTGCGTCCTTATCTTTCCTCCTTCTTTTTTGTGTTTGTCACTCTCTTGTAACACCTCTGATCTTCGTGGGTTGTTGGCGGGTGCTCTGGTGTGGTTTTCTCCTTCTTTCCCATCAAACATCTATTGTCCTGATCTCCCCTCCTTCTTTTTTGTGTTTGTTACTCTCTTGTAACACCTCTAATCTTCTGCATTTATATGACCTTATTGTGTTGCAAGTGCCATGACACTTTTACTGGAAAACCTTTAATCTTCGGCAGTCATATGACCTAATTGTTTTCCAAGTGTCGTAAAACTCTTAATAAAACAAGTCTCTTCTCGTAACAAACATGTGTGTGTGTGTGTGGGGGGGGGGGGGGGGGCTACCCGATAATCCAGGCTTATGAAGGAATGCATTTTTGGATTTCTTTCTCTTTTTCACTGCAGTCTCTACTGTCCCAGGGTACAAGAATGGAAAAAAAATGCCAATAGATACTGTGCACTTTCTGTGCTGGTGATAAAAACACTTTAGCTGTTTGGGAAAAAAGGAGAGTAGGTTTGTTAAAGTAACTTAAAGACAGGTGTGCGGTCAAAATTCTTCCCAAGGCCGATGGTCAGTATAAATCAATAAAAGTACACACACACACACACACTCGAAAAGAAAAACAAATTGGCACTACCTGGAAGGAGAGGGGGACAAAGGTCATTTATAATGTAAGTTTCTATGTATGTTGAAGACTGCATGCTGTCGACTGCCCTTGGAATGTGTTTTGGGGAGAATTGTGAATGAGGAGACTGAATTAATGTGGTTTCAGTCATTTACAGTGGTACTTCTATCTCTAGAGATTTACATGCACGCACTTTCTCAACAAAAAAAAAAAGAATTCTACTCTTATCTCTGATGGCTCTTAGTTGATTCTTTCCCCTCTGGTGTTGTCATATTCAGGTGTCTTCCATGGGCCTATTTGTTTGTTTGTTTCATTTTGTGCTGTGTTTTACGTTTGTTTTTGCTTTTTGTAGAATGTATTGGACTCTTGCATTGAGCTTGCCTGCTGTGTTTACTAATATAAGCTTTATTCTTCTCTTTTGACGGCTGTAAAAGTGCTGAAAACCTTTGGCATTCTTAAATTCTAAAGAATTAATAGCCCTATGACTTCTAAAATATAATCATGTGGCATCGTTCGTTAAGAGCCCGGTGTGTACAATGCATCACTTCCGTAAACTGCGTCCTCCATCAAAATATCGTAGTGCTGTTTTCTGTGATTCCAACTTAGTGCCATGTTACGACAGTGTGTTATGTAACGTGGAGTCACTCTCTCTTTACCGCTTTCAAAACAGAATCGACTGTCACTGTCTAAGTGGCTAGGGATTTTTTAATTTTTTTTTGCGGGGGAGGGATTGAACTTGGGGTCACCATGGGCCCAGACGACGGAAGATGTCGATCATGCCGTATAAGGTGGTCGATCAGTTCATCCTGTGCTTGTGTTAATTGTTCATTGACGCTGAGGAAAGTGTTTACGTCGTCAAACAGACTTGCATGGGTGAATGTAATAAGCGACAGAATGGACTTTTTTTTTAGCGTAGGCCTACTCTACTCTTTACTAGTGCTTGGGGGGGGGGTATAGAAATCTGAATCAAGTCGTGTATTACCTTGGGTAACTGAGTTTTTGTGACTAGAGTATGAATGCCAGTGCTACTCGTTTCTGATGTAGGGAGGAGCTGCAGATTGAATTTATTGTGTTATCAGTCTACATTGAAAAGAATTTCGAAGACAGTGTATAGTTTTCATCTGGCTTTCCTTGAAACCACCCTTCTCAACTTCATGATGCTGAATGGTCAAGTAAAAGTCCATGATTGTGTATGTCGTTGCCTGCGATGCTGCAAAAAGAAAAAAAGAAAGAAAGGTTTCAGAAACCTGTCCGTTTGCACTCCCTGTCTTTGAGATACGTAATTTTCTCGAGCTATTTTGGCAAACAGCGGCAGACAGTTGTAAAACTGTCGGCTTGGGTTGTCCAATTATTTCTTCACAACAGCTCATGAACCATTCAACTTCAAAGAGGGGGCTCCATAAAGTCACCCTCACAAAATTGCGTAGCGGCTGTCCATCGGCCGACTGTCCAGCTGTATAAACTGATGGCCGGCTTTTGTGACTGCTTGTCACTTGTGAATAATTTGCTCTCGCAACGCGGAGGAGAGTAATCTTTGTTTTTGGTCTCAGCTGGAGGATACAGGACTTTTGTTAAGATTCTTTGCCACGAAGTTTTAAAATTGCGGTTTGTTTATAATGTGGGTCCATAGAGCATCCATGCAGTTGCGCACGAAGGAAAACATGTCAAACGTTTTAGTTTCGCCTTGTCTGTGCCCTGAGTGGGGAACTCGCCAGGTGTGAGCTGCGTGTGCTCTTGTTACATTATGAATGTGCTGAAATCGCGAAGGGCGGTAAGAATAATGCACTCTAAATTGTTCTTTAAAAACTATATATATATATTTATATTGAAACTTGGGAACTGTCAGTTTTGTGAACTAAAGACATTTTGAAATGCAATTTCTTGCTTTTTGTGGATAGTTTGTTGGGAATTATCTTGGTCTAAGTTTTAAGTACGGATGCGGGCCCTTATGATTTAAAAAATTACATGCTTTATGATTAAAACGCTGATCACGGGGGGAAAGGGGGGGGGGGAGGCACTAATATGCTCTTTCTTTTCTACCCACTTGTTTGTTTTGCGTTTCACCTGCATTAAATGGACGTTATCGTGTTTCTTTTTACTCGATCTATCATAAACTGAGAGCTAAACTACTGTCTTCAGAATAGTTATGCGCGTATGAAACAATTTACGAGAGTTGGTGCCGTCGCTATCTTCAAATCATAAATTTTATGTGGCGCGTAGATCTAGCTGTACAAGGAAGAAATAAATATATGTTTACAACAGAAAGCAGACGCGTTATTACATAGTATTAGAATTTTGCTGAGAAATAAGTAACACCCGAGTTGGAGCAGAGCCTAGAATCTATCTAGATCTACGCGCTTTTATTTGGTCTGAGGTCCTGAGCGTGTAGAGCAGAGCGCATTTGGCGGCCACTGTGACACAGACGTTGAGCTCTCACCAAGGGAGGCGCAGGTCGATGCCCCTGGCGGTGGGCGCTTACCCCCCCCCCCCCCCTCCCTACCCCCGTTGGCGAGTTCCGAGTCGCTGTGCTGGAATGGCTGTTCCCTATTTTACGAAAACGCTATTTACAGCGAATTTCTGCAACAGAAAAAGCAGAAAAAGAACTGTTCTCTCTCTCTCTCTCTCTCTCTCTCTCTCTCTCTCTCTCTCTCTCTCTCTCTCTCTCTCTCTCTCTCTCTCTCTCTCTCCTCTTGTTTCTTTCTCTTGTTTCTTTCTCTCTCTTTTTTTCTGGACCATTATTATGTCGATGTGCATGTCTTTACTACAACTTAAAAGAAAACCTCTTTTCCTTGCTCTCTCTCTCTCCTCATCTGTCATTAGAAAGTGTTGAGAAGGACATTCACAATTGGGTTATTTCATGGAGGAAAATTTTGTATGAGCTGTTTCTGTGTCGTGGGCTCTGTTTCTGCTAGTACCTGTCTTTTCCTCTCAGCTTTTTGAAAAGTTATTTTGCCCCCGTGGGAAAATTTTTTCTCCCCAGTAGCAGCGATAACATTTTTTTTGAGATTGAGCATCAGATCTGAGTGCTCATGTATTTATTTAATTAAGATAGACAGGCATGGGTGCATGTGTTTATTTGATAAGCATTTTATAGGAAATGTCTGCAAATTCCTTACTATATGATTTTGGAGGATGTGTGCTTGTGATAAGCCAAAGAGAAGACATGAGACAAACTTGTTTGAATGTGTTAGATTCCTTTCCTGCTCGGGAACTTGGTCAGAAACATTGAGGACACAAGAGACAAATACTAGTAATTTATTGCACCCTCTCCTAGCCTTGTATTTATTGCCCGGCTGTACCAAGTGTATACTGCAAAGTCTGGGACTGACTTTATACCTTTACCCTACGGTCTTTCATATCTGTGTACGGATAAGAACTAATTATATGTTTGTGGTTTAGTCTCATTTATAAACTGTACTTGCTTGCGTTCGGAGCTGTTAGCTGAAGGATGATTCTTTTGTGTGAAAGTGGGCTCATTCAAGAAATAACTATTCCAGCTCTCTTTTTGTGATAAAAGACTGTAGAGTGGTAAGATTGTTTTTCTGTCTGTTTGTTCTCATACCTTTAGGCATTGGTTCTGTCAGTATTGATATAATAATACAAAATAGTTTGATTTTGAAGGTCGAAGTGATCTAGTTTCAGCTCGTAGTGTCATTTCTTGTATGTCATGGAAGGAATGGAAGCAGAACCTACTTTATGTGGGTCAAACATAGGTGAATTACCTTGATGCACACTCAGTGAAGATTAGAGACACCAAGAGCTTAAAAGTGGAAAAGGGAACAAATTATTAAGAAGGAAAATTGAGCGGTAAAATAAAAAAAGCAGACTTTTCATCTTTTTTTTTTAACACTTTGTCGATTTCTTTTCTTTCATACAGTAGGTTTTATATCCTTTTCATAATATGAAGGTCTGCACACTTGTCTTATAATGATAATAATATTTGCATTTATATAGCTCTTATCCATGCTTTACAGCATGCTCTATGTGGTTTACATCTATTGTTACTAAAGCAGACCTTAGAACACTCAGAAACATTCTCAGCTTCCTGGGAAGCATATAGTGCAAGCTGCGGATTGAACGCACTCAAATACTGATAAACTGACAAGATCTTTTGCTGTCTATAGCTGGAAATCCCTTCCCACCGGGGTGAAGTGAGGAAAATTTGTCCTAAGTGCCTTTCCCTAGGACACAATGTCAGGCTGTGATGACATTCTAACTCACGACCTTATTTTACTAGTCTGAGAGTCTAACTGCAAAGCCACTAACATCCTTTTTGTCTCAATTGTACTATAGTCTGTGTGTGTTTCTCAGGAAGCAACCTGCGTGTGCGTCGTGGCAGTGAGCCCAGCCTGAACCTATTGACAGATGAATTGCCTTCTGAGATTAATCCAACGCCACTGAGTGTGCTGCGGCCAAGCATTCCAAGACGTGAAAGTGTCAGGGTGAGTTCTAGAGTTTTTAAAGTTTTGTAAGTGCTGGATGGGGGGGGGGGGGGTTGTAGTCATTACTTTTTTTTTCCAAATGATTCGCATAATTTTTTGGTACTGTTTTGTTTCCTTGAGAATGCAGAAGCGGCTATTCCTTTCATGTTTTCATACAAATTCTTTAAATCTAACTTGTGATATATGTATGTTTGTAGTTGGGTGATGGGCACTCTAGTCTGGTCTGCACTTTCTACTTAGTTTCTGTGTTTCTGTTGTTGTAATTTGTTCCTGCCAAAGGGTTATTTAATCTGACTGATTCACTTTAAACTACTACCCTAGAATAACCGTTTGTGGGCTCATTAAAATATGCTTGTCTTCAGTGTTTGCCAGTGTTCACCTTTTTATAACCACGGGGAAATGAGAATATAAAATGAAAGTTCTGAACAAATGTATTCGTTTATTGGTTGCTTGTGTGAACAAATATGTAAGAAAGTCGAGGTTGTAGAATTTAGTTCTGACTCTAGGAAATTCGTTTGATTATTTCAGGACAGTGATGAACCCAGATCAGAGTCCTCAGATGAAGATAAACGGGTTAAGGTCACCATGCATGGTTCTCTGGATAGAAAAAAGTTGGGGCCCAGTCGCTTTGCACGTGATGCATTTCGCACTTCTCTCAGCAACAGGCCTGAGATGTTCAGGTGGCTAGAGGCTCAGGAAAGGCAGGAACAGCGCACCAAAGAAGCACAGGCTCAGGTAAAATGTGTCTGTTGGTGGGTGTTCTAGTGTGGTATGCTCCTTTCCTATAAAACATCTATCATCCTTATCTCTCCTCTTATTAGTTTGTGTTAGTTACTCCTTAGTAAAACCTCTTTATCTTTAGCACTCATATTACCTAATTGTGTTGCAACTGCTGTAAAACATTTAGTTTTTAAAAAATGTCTTGGTCTTGTAGAAGATTATGCTTGATTTCCATTCAGTTATTGTATGACTCAGCTTTTAAGGCCCCTCCAAAATGCTTCATGAAGGCTTGCTCAGCTACTACGGAGTGTGTTTTTTTGTCTTAGGTCTGTAGCCATTACTTCAGTTGTCACAAATTTGCCAAGCACCCCAATAAAATTGGATTTCTCTCTTTTGTTTTTGCCCTCAGAAAGGCCTAGATCAGTTGTGCATAGAACCCACTATTTTTTTTTCTGATCTCAGATCATATGCAATAGACTGTATTTAAGTAACTAAAGTTACATTCTGTTAGAAAAGTTAACTGGAGTTATGATATTATTATCTTTGTCTACCTTTATTAAATGTAATTTGATCACATCCCTATAAGGTTTTCATTTTGGCAATTTGTTCCCCAGATGAAGCCCAATCTTTCTAGAGAGGATTTTTAGAAACTGTTGAAATTTTTAACTTCAATGGATTGACTGGGTTTTTTCTCTCCTTTTTTAAAAACTGAAAACAAAAGCATGTGTTGCAATGACTGGTATTTCTTTACAAGGACATCATTGTGAGACAAGGGAGCAGTGCACGTCTGGTGTGAAAGGGGGCAAATCAAAGCAAGTATACAAGTGTTTCTGGTTAAAGAGTATGTACGGAAGAATCTGTTGGAGGTACAAATACTTATATGCTTATAACTTGTTGTTTTGTTTTGTTTCAAGGAGAGAACGGGACCAGTGGACGGGCATGATGGCGAAGATGTAAATATTTCAACACAGCCAAACCCGTAAGTACTTGTGTATTGTTATATGTTGTTTTATTACCAGGTAATTAATACCAGTGTTATAGAAGAAGTGTCATGTGATTGTTGTCTTTTTCAGAAATTCTTTCTTGTCTGCTGTCTTCAACATTCCACCGGAGGGGGGGGGGTGAGGTTTAACATTTTTTCTTTTTTGATTGTTTTACTTAAAAGAGATGATGGTTGGTTCTTCAATGGAAAAGAAATTTTTTCAACTGTTTGAACACTTTTACTGGACTTGATATGTTCTAGAGAAGCATACCGTAGTCTTGTCTTGTCAGAGGCTTTTAGTTTTTCATGGAGCCTCTTTCAAAATAGTCTCAAGCTTAACAGCCTGCCTCAGCCTAGTCTGTTTTTCAATCTAAAATAGGTTTAACTCTTTCTTGTTTCCATTTTTCACCGACATTAGCCGCTCATTTATTCTAACTCCCTGTTCCCAAAGCTGCCTCTGGGTGTTGCTTTTATAGGGAATAAAAGTATGTTGTGACTTCTGGCGCTGGCTCTGACTCTTTCCTCTCTAGAAATTAAATCAAAGCTTTGTCTATGGTCAGTGATAAATTTTGTCAAAGCCAAGCTTACCATTTAGGAAATTTGTTTGGAGATTTAAAGTGCATGCCCAGTTGATTTGACTGGGTTGAACTCCAGCGCTGCATTTTTGTGAACCCTCTTTTTTTGGGCCAGTTGAATTGGAAAGGGTTCACACAGGATAATATTTGCTTTTGCAACTGCAGTTGATTGATGTTTCATGTCGTTCTGTCCATAGGACTCTGATCACGCTTCAGAATGATGGAGGACCTCTGGGCATCCATGCTATTCCTGCCAGCGATGAGAATGGGAAGGATATTGGTCTGCTGATTCAGAGCATTGAGCCAGAGCGCCCAGTGCATCGCGATGGCCGGATACAGCCGGAGGACACCATTGTGGAGATTAATGGGACCAGCTTGAAGGATGTACCATTTCTCAGGTGAGAAATATATATCATACGATGTGTCTTTTCTGGCCTTGTGGCTGTAAGCGGACTTTGTCTCGTGGTCTTTAAGGAGAGACGTACACTCCTGGAAAAATGTTCTAAACGAATGACTTTTATTCAATTTCATGTAATTGTGCAAGAAGTTTATAGGTAAATAGGATGTACTAGGGGTGAATTTATTGAATTTTTCTGAAAAATGGGTCTCTGTGGTGGCCATCTTGGATTTTCAAACCAGTTTCTTAGTGCAGAAGAATTTCATAGTAAATATTGAATTATCAGCCTGAAATGTGGCACACAAGTACAAACCTATATGAACTGGGGATCCATGTAAGGATTTTGACCTATCTTTAAAACTAAAAAAGTGAGCCCAAAGTCATTGGACCCCCTAGAGTCAGTTGACGAAATTTTGGGGTACATATTACAAAAAAAATTGAATATTTCCTCAAGTTACCAATATTTCCCATTCCCTTATATAGATCCCCAGAATCGATCTTAAAGCACATGTACACCAAATTTGAAGCTTCTAGCTTTTGTAGTTTTTTAAAACTCCTTGCACCCAGGGGGTCACATATGTCAAAAAGTAGATTTTGAGAAAAACAGAAAAAACAGGGATTTTTAAAAGGATTTTTAGAGCAATTTGCACTTTTCAAACGCCCTTTTAGGTCATTTAGGGTTTTTTTCAACAGTGTCTTCATTTTGACTCGATAGAACAGATGTCAAAGGATGTTTTTCCGCAAAAAACAAAAATTGGATAGTTTGAACATTTGTATCGATATTGCCTTTGATCACCGACCCGGGTCTTCCCTTAAGATGAGTAAGGTGCTTCACAAGGTGAAGGCTGTTTGGTTTTAAAGGTTTTGAACCATCTGCCTCTGTTAGAATGTGTAGGTGAATACATAGATGAATGTCACATCCACTGACCCATAAATGCCTGAAAGATCCTTGCACTCCCAAGCTAGTTGTATGTTCATTTCGTTTTTCTATTCATTAATTTTTTTATCTGCGCACACATTTGAGTATAGTGTTCCCAGACACACATTCATTGAAAAGAAGTGATATAACATGAGCTCTTAGAAGGGATAATACTTTGGAGAATTTCTGATTCGTATGTTGTTTTTTTAATCACTCACAGAGCTCAAGAAATTTTCCGGGCTGCCATGGATACCAAAGAGATTCGTCTACAGGTTCTGAAAGCAGACACTGCAATACCTGAGACTTCCAGCACTTTACTTCCACCCTCTCCAAAGCAGAGACGGGCCCCTCAAGGTCCTCCAGTCCTGCCAAAACCTCGTAGCCACGCCCCAATGAAACCATCTCCTCTTACACTGCCTTCTCAGGAGTCAGAGAAAGATGTTAAGTCCTCTAGTCCAGTCCCAGCGCCAAGAGAGCACTCAAAGAAGGCGGTACCCAGCAATTCTTCTGATAACGGGCAAAGAACAGAAAGCTTCAGAACTTCTGACAAACTGTCATCGTTCAGTTCAAACTCTAGTAGTAGTACAAATTCCGGTCAAAAGCTTGAGAGCCTTTCTAAACCAATTCCCAAAAGAACATCATCTGCCTCGAACAACAATGTGATCAAACCGGGCCCCCCGATCAAACCACCGAAGAAAACGCCCCCTGCTGTCCCGGTGCGCAGTCCCAACACAGGGCTCACCCCAGGGCCTCCCACTGACTTGCCCCTCAACACGGCTTATAATACTCGCAAAATTGGCAAGAAGCTGGGTATCCAGCTCAAGAAAGGTCCTTTAGGCCTGGGATTTAGTGTGACATCTCGGGACAATCAGACAGATGGGAATACGCCCATTTACATCCGGAATATTCTGCCCAAGGGGGCTGCTGTACAGGATGGACAACTCAAGCCTGGGGACAGACTCTTGGAGGTAAAGGGGGAAGTTTGTGTCAGTTATTGTACTCCCATCTCAAAATGTTAGTTTGATCCTAGTTAAGTCACAGTCTGCCTTATTGGGTTTTTTTTGTGAGGGCAATGGAGGTTTCTTACAAGCACGTACATTTGCCTATGCTTTAATCTAACATGTTCAGAAGAAGGAGAAATGTGTGGCTTTTTTAATATGTGCTACGATGCAGTGGAATCAGGCGCTGGTCAATTTTTGGGCTTGTGGATTTATTGGTATCATTCAATAGTTTACTCATTTGCCTTGCTTTCAATGAAAAAACCCCCCCCCATCTATCTTGAATAGAAGTCAAGATATTTTCGATTGATGGAGGTAAAGTTGCCTGATTTCAGTGGTAAGATTAGCGAGAAAATGGCCGCCTAAGTTTGGTAACTTTAATAGCCTGAGAGTCCCTGAAAACTGGAAAATCACATATTTTGTCCCTTTATCAACGTTTTTCAACTGAATTCTCATGGAATTATGTTTTATATGGACCAAAAGGTGTTGAGCAAAGAAACAAAAATTCGATAAAAATTGCCAAACAGGTGGAAAAATGCTTGTTTCTTCAATTTCATTATTTTGACGAGCGCCTGATTTCACCACGATGCCTCACATATTTTTTTTTATATGGTTATTATACATTTGGTTTTATGTTTGAAAGGGGGAATTCATCTGGGAATTCGGTATGTTGTCAGGGAATGCAGGTATATGACAAAGCTATCTTACAATATGTATTTAATGGATCAAGATTGAAATAATGTGTTGAGTTTTAGCTAAAGCATTTGCTGAAAAGATTTTGCAATGACTTTGTCACCTGCAGGTGAATGGTGTAGAGATGACTGGCAAGACTCAGGCTGAGGCCGTTTCCTTCCTTCGCATGTTGCCTGAGGGCAGCATGGTCAATTTGCTCGTCTCTAGACAAGAAGAGGTGGAGGAAAAGTTTAAAGTTCCTCGAAAAATGGTAAGTAGACCCCTCCTTACCTACTGATATCGACACACTAACTGCAATTTATCATATGACAACTTATTAATTAATTTTCACCAAGCACACCTTTTGCATTCTTGTATTGGCTGCGTTTGCTGAAAGTATCACTAAAAAAATTTCTGCTTCAATGGCACTTTGTTACTTACAATTTAAAACCTTTTAAATATCTTCAGGCGCAGTTGTTAAATTGTGGTCATTGTTGTAGGTAGTAGAATTGGAGTGCAGTGTTGTAGATGAATTTTTAAATGACCATTAGGCTTCTTTTTTTCATGCTGTCCTCCCCGAGTGTGAAAAGCCTTAGTTCATCTACTAATATTGCGCCACTGCTACCATTTCTTTCCAAATATTTCAAAATGCTGTTTTTTTCTCATTTGTATACAATTCTTTAATAGCTATTGCGTATTCCATTTCTTTAAGTTTTGATTGATGAAGTTTTTTAACGGCTTGTTATTGCTGTCATTCAGTTGGCCATTGTTTTAGAACATCAAGTGAATTTCACTGACAAAGTAACCGCTGGTCACCATTCCATTGACCTTTCTCCTTCTCATTAGAGATTAAAATACTAAAGTAGCAAGGTAATGTGCTCATGATACTTGCCTCATTCTATTCATGTTTGAGGAATTTTTGTGTTTGAGAAAATTTGGACGAGCTGTGCTCATTTTCTGATTGCTGATGTTAAGCCAAAGCACTGGAGTCCTTTTCTCTGTGATCTAACCTGATGTTGTTCTGTGTTTAACTGACTTGGTTTGCCCAGTTGCACAGTCAAGCTTGTCATCATTAATTCTAATCCCTTTGGTTTCTTGTTTTTCTATTTTTCTTTTTTTCTGTTTTTAATCTTAGCAAACTAATGGCAGTCTTCATTTTATGCTATTTTTGTCCCTCTACTACTTACCCTTTCTTTTTAAATTGCTCGTGTGTTATATTTAAATGGTTGTGTTTTAATTCATTCAGTGTGCTAATTATTTTGCTAGATCTTGTGCTTAAATATGGCTTTATTTTGTTCGATGTTCTTTCCATTTTGAAAAGACCGTAATGTAATACTTAGTTTATGGTGTTTCACAACTTTTTATATTCTGTTTTTCTGTGTTTTTTGTTTCAAAAGTCCCAGTTCTTAGAGTACCTAAACATTTTGTAATTAAAACTGAAAGTTATATGGGGGGGATGTTACAAAGGCATAATGTATTCTGACCAAATGAATCCTTTTCATAATTTACTCTCTCATTGCTGCAAATTTAAAAAGCTGCGGACTTTCTCATTGTTTCTGATTTTATGTTTTAAAATATTTTATTTTAAAGAAGTGTATGGTTTATTTTTGGGATGCTGAATGGAGAACTGTTCTTTCTGTTTGAGAAGGTTTGCATGCACTTGTTGCAAGATTTCATTCAAGCTGCTTTGTTTTCTGTTTGTTTTAGAGATTGTTGTTTGTTAATTATGTCATATAGGGCCTACTTTCTAACATCTAAATTTTTAAAAAGTAAACTGTACACCTCCGGCAGTCATGGCAGCTGTTATAATTATATTTCTAACATGACCTTTTGTTTTTTAAGTGTTTTTGGTGACAGTCAGCCTGTTTTCTCACTAATTGTTGGGCTTTTTTTTTTTGCCAGCTAGTCTAGTCTGGTAGAGAGATTGTTGGGCTTATTTTTGCCAGCTAGTTGAGTCTGGTAGAGAGATGTGTTTAACCTGCAATCTGAAATCTATCTTGGATTACCCCTTTCTTGTTGAGACCATAGACTTTGACAGATAATGAGACTGGGAACCCTTCATATAGAAGTGCAGATTGCATCTATGCACATACATACTTAGGCAGTTATGTGACTTGTTTGTCTTTAGTAAAAAAAGATACCTGTAACTCGTAGGGCCTGAATGCTGATAATGTAAAGATTACATACATATAGTGGAAATGTGAAAATAAGAGCACAACTTGTCACCTAAAGATACATGTCACAGAAACCAGAATAGTGATTTTTAACAAAATATTGACACTTGTAGGTCTAGATAAAGTGGTGATTTTTTAGCACAGCTGTATGACACAAGATGCACAACGCTGCTCTTTCTACAAAGTCATTTTAGTACAAAACAGACCAATGCCTCATCAGTTAAGATACATTGGGTACAGAGCTATGGCAGGGATGTATGTAGACATGATGTAGTCTGCATGTTTTCTTCTCTTGCTAGAAATGTACTGAAAATCTGGGCTCAGACTAAGCAGTAAATATGTCAGCGTTGTGTTGGTTGTTTTCTGTTTTTGATGTTGTTTGTGGAAGTGGACACTGGTGCTATTATAGAGATGAAAGTGGAGATAAAGGTTCGTTTTTTTTTGTTGGGTTTTTTTTTTTGGGAGGGGGGGGTTGGTCTCCATTCGTTTTTCTCCGCGTTTGATAAAGTCTGAAAGTAAGAATGTTATGAGGTCTATATCTTGTCCTAAGTTTGTAGAGAGACATGTTTCACGTGAAAGAGCTTCAGGAAGTGGATCAAAGATGATATTGAATCTGATAATGTTAGTACTAATGTTATAGCTTGTAGAGGACATTATGGATTTCTGAGATTTCAAAGCAGATTTGAAAATAAAGGGCTAAAACAAGTTATAATGCTTTGGTCTTGCGTAAAAATATGTATCTTCTTGAAGACATAAGTCCTGGATCTTGTCTTGTTTTAATTTTATGAAAATTTTCTCCTAATTTTCTATCAAATATATTCTGTTATTCTTATCTTATAGACTTCTTTTTTTAATCTTACTCTTCTAGAGTAGCACCTCTTCTATTCGACATTTATATAACATATGCCTTTTTGTTTTGAAAGTGGAATAAAACTTTAACTAACACTAAAATAGGTCTTCACATAGATACAGATTTTAATGCAAGACCTTTTGGTTTTAGCCACTCATTACTTATTCTGCTATGAAATGATTCTGGGATCACTGTTATGTTTTAAGTATGTGGACAAAATTCATAAGTCACCAAGCACCCATTTGTCCTGTCCCACTTGACACACTGTTGGTATGCCTTAACTGCCTGTCTGTTTGCTAATCTTGCCCTCAGTCTTTATCATCGATGTGTCTGTTGAATGTGAATGTTTTTAGTTTTGCTTTTGCTCGCCTTTGCCTGCCTGCCTGCCAGCCAGTGGACTCCAATGTTTTGGCTTTCAGAGTGATTCAAGCGAACCTTTGGCCACTGCCCTGACTGGTCTTGAAAGTGGCCCCGAAGACACCGCTACCGCCATGGCGGAAGGGCATGTTGGTGCGGAGGCTGACTTGCCTGCTGTCTCCCTCTCACAGCCATCCCGGGGTACAGAAGCCATGGAGGACAGCCCCCCGGGTCAAGTGAAGGAGAAGATCACCTTCCATGTACAGCTAAACGACACAGGGTCTGCTGGCTTGGGAGTCAGCGTCAAGGGCAAGACTGAGCCCACCGACCAGGGACTGCGGGATCTGGGCATATTTGTCAACTCTGTGTTGCAAGGGGGTGCTGCTTCTAAGGTTTGACCTGACTAACTGTTTCCTGTTCTCATTGTGTTTGTCTGTGTGCCTTTTGCTCTTCTGAAGGTCATTAAAGCTGCTAGAAATTTAGTTTTTCTAGTTTGCACAAAATGCTATGCTGTTTTGTTCTCCTTCAGACAGAAAATAGGCGAAATTCATGAAAATGTTTGGAGATAGAAGAAAGTTTGAGGCATTGTTTTTTCTGTTCATGATTACTGTCACAAGGAAAATAAATAACTATATCCTGTCCTGCTTTGGCAGGTGAGTTTAAAAAATGTCGGGAGTGATTAATTTTTCTTGTGACAGGGATGAAGTCTAACTGAAGTGCTTATCATGTTTTGGGGTTTTTTTCCCATTGAATAGTAAGTACAAATTTCAAGTACAGGCTTACTTTTTAAAAATGTTAAGTGTTTTTTCGGTTTCCAAACATTTTGCATAAGTCATCAACAATATTTTTTATACCAACGATGTTACTGTTTAAGCAGTTTAATGTTAAGACTATAACTTTGAATAAATAATTGTGAGAAATGTGAAACTGATTGATAGCTGTGTGTGAGATGCCATTTTAATTCCTTGTCCCCTCCTGTTCTTTCTAACGTTCATAAAAAGCACAAGTATGTGCATGTTCACCACTGTATTACAAACAGCCTGAATGTTTGAAGCTTCAACTAATTTTAGAGCAGTATCTTTCTCCTGTTTTACCTGACTGGCAAATATAGGTCTGTGGTCTGAATTTTACTTCTATTCAATCTTTTGTCCACAGCATGTTGTTAAGTTTGCTTTCTATTTTTTAATTACAGCACATTTACTGTTTCTGGTATATAACATTTGATATCGTTTGAGGAGATCTGCCTCACCCTAGAGTTCTTTGTTACCATGTCCTATTCATAGTGGTGGAGTTGTGGTTTTTTTAATGTCATTGGAGCATTGTTGCTGTTTAATTCTGTTTAATGAAATGAAAATAATTATGTAAGAACTATTCCTTTCTTCACCTCTTTTTTTTTCTGTTTGTCTGTCCATGTGCCCCTCCATACAGGAGATTGGAGGGCACCATTGGCAATTTCTTGTTCTTAATACTCCTTGTGTTTTTATTTCTTAGTTTGGCACTAAATGAGAAGTATTGTGTTGATGTACTTTTAATTCAAATGAAATTGAAATTCCCTCTTTCTCCCTTATTGTCTCATTGAATGTGAGGGGGATATATTCTTAGTATATTTCTTTGTCTCACTGGTGCTCTAAGTACATACCTTATTCTTAAACAATATTGACTTCCCCTCTCAGGATGGCCGTCTGGAGGTGAATGACCAGCTGCTGGAGGTGAATGGAGTCCGTCTTGAGGGCCTTTCCAACACAGCAGCCATGGAAGCATTGCGCATGGCTATGATGGATGAGGGCCTGATCCCAGGCCATTCCACAGTCACAGTAGCCAGACGTGCAGAACCCAACTCAATGCCCTTCTTCTGTGGAGATACTGCAGACAGCAGCCAGGCAGATGCTATGCTCCCTCCGCCTTCAGTTCACCAGCGGTCAGTTTCCGCGTCGTCGGATCTCCCTGCTCCCATCGTACACCAGCGCTCATCTTCAGCATCTGAGACTTTCAGCAGCCCTGTGGTGCAGAGATTCGGCAGTGACAAAGATATGCCGTCGCCCATTCCACCTGTTCGCAGCAAGAGGGTAGCTGCTCTTCGTGAGCGATTCTCAGAAATGGGCAACGGACTCCGAAATGAGTCATACATGAAGGCAACAAATGAGAGTATGGACGTGGGGCCTGCGGGGCTGAGAAATGAGTCCTACATGAAAGCAACTCATGACACTTTGAATGAAAGTGAAGCTTTCAAGAACCTTTTACCTTCCCCTTCCAAGCCTGTTGCACCATTAAAACATTCGCAGTCCCAAGAAGGGAAAGAGAATATTGTTATAGTTGAGAATGATACTTATACTCTTCCTCAGGTAAGTCCTTGCAAGACTTGATTTCATCGGTCAGTGCTATCTATAGAGGCTGGCACATCAAACTGAGTTTTTGATGTTCACTGATTGGAAATTGTTCAGACAGCCTTTAAATCTGAGATGCAAAATTTTCCATGGCAATTGAAGTCTTTCCCTATAGCGCTAGATCTATCTTTACCAACAGAATCTCATGAAGTATTTTAAAAAAGAATACGTTCAAAAACTAAATAGATTTTACTTGTCAGTAGTAGTAGTATAGGGTTTTACGGCGCTCGCAACTTCGTACGGTCATATGAGCGCGATTTTACTTGTTGACTGGGCAGTTTTTAAGAGATTGTTCTTAACTAGTGATGTACATTTTAAACTTGCTATTTTTTGGATCCCTGATAAGATTCATGTGCACTTCTGCATTTTCAGTCTCAGAGAAGAATATTCTATTGACTTTAGAAGAGTTTAACTGTACTAAGCTAGAGGTGTGATGCCTGAATAAGTAATAACATGTACTAAAAAGTTTATCCTAAGGGTTTTCTCTTCTGTCTTATATTGTGAGCGCCTTATTGATGTCTTCTATTGCTTTGTGCTCCTCAGAAACCTCAGAGGCCTCACTCTACAATTGGATTCCTTCATGGGGGGCCACATGGCTCTGTGTCTGATGATGAAGCTTTCAGGCGAGAGTCTGTTGCTTCTAGTAAAGATGAGAGTGACCTGTAAGTTTGAATGCCTTCTGTTACTCCTTTTTCCTGTGCCCTTTCCCTGCATTCTTCAGAGAAAATGCTTTTCAAAATTAACTGTCCTGGCTCCTTTTATGAAAAGAAGAGTGGGGCAGATGTTGGAACGGCAGAACTGTTTTGACAAATGAAAACTAAAACACCTAAGAAAGGAACTGTTGAAGAGAGTCCCTCAAAAATGCTGTAAGGGAAAATTTTTGGGCGAAAGGCAGGCAAGTTTCTTTTGCCTGAAATGTGATTTTTCATTGATGAAAATTTTGCCTTTTTTTATAGTCAGTTAAATCTTTCCCTGGTTACTCCAACTTTCGCCAGGTTTAATTCTTTACCATATTATAAAATTCTAATGCTCAGGATGATAGAAGTTTCAACTGTGGACAGAAAATGTAAAATTGTTCAGCAATTATTAGGCATTTTTTATTCTAATTACAGGAGCCCAAGTGGGGATTTAATCCTACCCTTTGCACGAGAAGGCTTTGGTCGGCAGAGCATGTCTGAAAAGCGAAAAGGTCACCTAGATCCAAGGTCCACAGAGATCTACAAACTTGTGAAGGCAAACAAGGAGAGCAAGGGTAAAGTTCATTTACGGCTCGTCAAATTGTATAGCATCTAGCTGGCTAGTTTGGGTGTCTGGCTTCAGCTTTGTATGCACCTCAATCTTCGCCACTGTTTGAACTTTGTCACTTCTCAAACTATATACCTTCAGCCTGAACTGCCGATGTAAATTCACAGTTATCAACATTGGTTCCCGAAGGAAGCATGATTTTCTTTAAATTGATGCACAAGCAAATATTGTTTCTATTCTTAAATGCACAAAAGAATATATCCATGATGGTAAGGTTTTCACGTAGCAGTATACTGCTGTGGGCACTCTGCATTACAGTTTCCTTGTTATATGCAAATTCTGTTGTAACAGAGAGATGATTGTGGTAGGGAAGAAGCGAAATGCAGTCCCACTAAACCAAAGTAAAATGAGAAACTGGTGCTTTGTTTTTAGACTAAGGGCGAAATGTTCTCAAGCTTGGCCAGAAAGTCTGACTTCAGGTCTGTTGGTTCTACATGGTTTCTTCACCCTTTCTTACTCTCTCAACAGTCATTTGTTCAGAGAAGAAACCTTTAAAGGACTAGGGAATTAAGAAATCTTATTCTAGAAATTAATATCAGCTGTTCTTATTCATAATCTATTTAGCTAAGTGTTAAAGCTTGTGTTGCAACTCTTTAAAAAAAAATCAAAAGCAAGATTTTGTGCCTTTACTCCATCATTTTCATAGCTGAGATGAAGTCCCAATTTGCCAAGCTTAGTCCAAGCAATACATTCTTTGCTCAGTTAGGTGTGTTATTACAGCTGAACAGTACAGATTGAAAAGTTGCGTTTCCATGAGTTACTGGTTTGACATTTGTCATCTACTTGATCAAGTTTGGGAACACTTATCAGAAAGTCGTGCTGACGTTTAAGATAAGGTATTCAGGAAAAATGATGTTGATCTTTTATTCACGTTGACCGTATGGACCCCAAGTGATTGTACCAGGACAATTATGTATCATTAAACAGTACCTATGAAGGAAATAATGATTGAAGTGATTGAGATTCCAACAAGTATTATTGCTATCATCATTATTATTATTGAGGCAAAAATTACCCTACCAAATGTTCCTTGGGCGTAGTTTTATCTTGTCAATACTTGTCTTTTGTAAAAAAATCAGGTTTATTGTTTGAGAAAAATGACAACACATGCTTTATCAGTAAAAGCTGAACAGGGTTCTGTGAAGTTAACTCACTTGAATGTCCCCCATTGACCTTGTAATTCCTTAGAATTTTATTGTTTAACAGACAGGATCCATCTAATAAATTTTGGTCAAGACTTGGTGAAAGGGTCTCAACTCAGAAGGAACTGCTGTTCAAATTTTATTTCATTCATTCAAACTGTTTTCCAGTTGCATATTACCCGAATTTGTATATTGTATGGGGCAAAGCTGCACACATTTTTTGTCAGAGACAGAGATATCAAAAGAAGCAATTGTCTATTGTCAATCATACTCATATCAATTCTTATCCCCTGTGCAATCCTTTTTCTGTATATATGTGTGTGCGCCTGGAGAAAGGTACTAAAAGTCGCCACAGACTCTTTTGAGCTACAAACTGATAATGACAAAATATAACTTTTTAAAAATCAAAATGTGTTTCCATGAGAAAAAAATGATAGTTCCACCGTTTTATAACTATGTGTGAAAAGGGATTTCATTTATTTGACTTTTAACTCAGAGTCCTTGGAAACGGACAAATAAAAAAATTTTTTTGCCTTTAATCGTTTTTCAATATAATTCACACTGAAATGGGCTCTTAAATGGAAGTAGAAGGAAGGTGTTGAGCTAAAAAAAATAAAAATCTTTTCGATAAAAAATTGCCCCGCCAGTGGAAAAGTGAAAGTTTATTTTCATTATTTTGACGAGCGCCTGATTTCGCCACACTGCCTCACAAATATATAATGATTTTGGCATCAAACTATGAAATATTATTCCAGACTTCATGCACAAATCTGAATAGTCCGTTTTAATTTTGACTATTCAAGTTGTGTCTGTGTGTTTGCAAACTTTGAAGATCTTTTGTGTCTATCAAGGGGAACATCTGTAAATTTTCTTCTGTTTGCCTCTAAATGCAAAAGTACAATTGAGCGCATGGTCTGGTGTATTTTACTCCTTCTTTCCTATCAAAGATCTGTCATCCTTATCATTCCATTAAAAAAAACACTTTCTAGTAATACCTCAAATCTCCAGCTCCTATAATGACCTAATTGTGTTGCAAGGGCGGTAAAACTCTTACTAAAACTAAACTGAAAAACGTTCTATTGACAAAAGAGACAATTTGAGGTTCAGCTGTTTCCAAGAGTGTTCCGTTTGCCTCTCATTGTTTTCGCAGTTTTCTGTTTCTCAGTAATGTATCTCTTTGTTCCCTGCGTATATGAAATTTTAAAGTAGAATTTTAAGTAGAAGGAGAAGTTGCGGCTGTTAAGGGTTTGTAATGTTGGGTTTTTTAATAACTCGGTGTCCAAGATCTTTCAAAATGTGGCTACCCACAGTTTCCATAGTTTCTGATGATGCACAAATGTATAGTTATTTCAAACATGATTATAATACTCACTATGTTAGACACTGTCCCTATGGAGTGTGTAGTTTCAAGATTATAATGCTCATGGTGTCGTTTTTGTAGTATTTGTTGTTTCAAAGGTATAATACTCATGGTGTGTACAGAATCAAAGGTAAACAGGGTGTTATAAATCAAACTATTATTGATATGTTGTTGAAGTTATAATCAGACTCCCTGTCTGGGCACTAGTCAGTCAATGCATTGCTTTCTGTATAATTATGGTATTTTTGGCTGCTGTTTATTTTAAATGAAGAGATTGGAGGTTGCCTGTGAAAATATTTTTTCCCCTGTCTTTTTAAGCTTTGTGTACATTACTGTAATTCAGTTATATACTCCTGTGTGTAACCTGACAAGACATATGTGTTGGACTTATAATAATAGTCTATTGTTAGAACAAATATTTGGTTCTGTATAGATGCTGTCAAATGTATTGGTATTTTTCGGGAACAAGTCAAGAGTTATTTCTATGCTGCACACCAATTGCAGTGACAAATCAATGGAAAAAATTCAGCGTGTGACAAAAGCCAAGGACTTTGTAGTTTGTTAACCTGTGTTTTGTTCCTTGTACTCCAAATATTCACCGTGTGAGTCTGTCCTCTCTCCAGGTGGTTTTCTTGGTCGTCGTGTGCGATCATTTCATGTCACAGGTAGCCCTTGAAATGGCGCATCTTGCCTTCAATGTGTAGTGAACAACTTTTTGGTTTCTTATTAATTTTTCTGTGTCCCTTTTCCTCATTTCTCTATAGTCTTTTTTACTAAGTTTCAGTGCAGCATTTACAGGAATGTCTGTGCCATAGTGTTAATTTTTTGTTCGCCCAGCTTATCTCATCAATGAAATCAACATATTAATATGATGATATTGCAGAGCTTCCAATTAATGGCTTGTCATTACTGAAGTATATTCCCTATTAGATACAATGAATTTCTCATACAAGGTGCTGCTTTCAAAATTTAAAATGTATTTTAATGCCTCTGTAACTTTATTGCATGGACAATGCTTTAATTGATTTGAAATGATAAATGATATCGCTACCAAACACTTGCAACCCATTGACCCTACTCAAATCAGTGCACTTAAGTATAGTCTTACACGTATCATTGTAACAGTAACCTTCATCTGTAATTGCTCTTAACTTTTTTTTATGAACAGCTGTCATTCAAATGTATCATACAGTATTACAAATAGCAGTCAACAAACTTTTAAGGGTTCAAAATCTGGAGCACAGTGAATGTGGTGTAGTTTTCTGTATTGTGAAAGATGATCTGGGAAGATTTGTGAACCAGCATTTTTAATGTTTGCACAGAGACATATTGAGGCGAGAAATGGAATGGGAGCATTGTGATTGTCTTTTGAAAAAATCTGTGTTAACCATCTTAACATTTTTAGCCACTATTAACTCATCACTTAAGCCATAACAACAATTTGATACAGACATAATGCAGCCGCATAATAACTCGTTATATTGGATTTTTGTCACTCTTTAATTCAAGAAGATAATTATTTGAAGTAGATAACTGTAAGAGGAGTGAAAAGAAAAGATAAGCATGGTTTAGTGATTTGTCTATCTTACATGTGGTCTGTAATCTTTAAAGATTTTCATTGCTGTGATCACTCTTATCAAACTCTGGTTCCTAATTTAATGTAAACCAAACTCTGGTTCCTAATTTAATGTAAACCAAGGAATTTTGAAGTGTGAAATTTCCAGGAGATGTGACAAGATTATTTTGTATTTGAAGCTTTGACAATGGAACAGTTAAAGCCATGTACCTACAGGAGGGAGCTGTTGTCTACTAAAAAGTGCTAAAACTTGTTTGTTAAAGTAATTTTAATTATTCTGAGATAAAACGAGAATGGTATGTTCATTGTTGACTTGCACTGTAAATTCTGTAGATATCATCAATCATGTTGCTCAAGTATGAATTTGCAGACAGAAATGCTTTATAGTCTTATATTTTTTCAGGCATTCATAGCTTTTAATGTAGAGTGTAGGCTAGACAGAAGCATAATGTGTGTTGACAAACTTCAGCTGATAAGTTTGTATGTATGTCTAAAGTCTATTTTCATAATTCATAGGGCAGTATACTTACCAAAGCTGATCAGTAATGCTGTGTTGTGTAAAGATGTTTTTATGTTGTGCGTAAAATTTTGCATGTTGTGTTTTCCCCTACTCTTTTCTTGTGCTCTGTGGTTCTGCACTCTCAATGTTATTATTTTTTCTTTTTGTGATGATATCATGATTAAAATGAACACATGTTGTGAACTTCATCGTGTTCTTTATTGATTCCTCTTTTTGTTGTCTTTCTAATATGTGGACATGCACTGTGAGGCAAAATGTCGATGCACAAGCTTACTACTGATATGTTGGTTTAATCCGTGGTACAGAGCTAGATTTCACCTTTCAAAGCACAAAGCAAGCTATGTCTAGATACGCACAAAATAACCAGATGTTTCAGTCTTTGCATGAAAATTTTCTTACCTCTGTTCAAGTCAGTGAAAGAAATCCGCATTACATGTCGACTTTTATCTTGTAGATCTACACTATATAAGTGAAATTAATGCTTTTGTTTCAAATTAAGAATGCACATCTTTGTTAGCTTTCCTTTTTGTACATTGCTGTTAAAGGAGGTTGTTGTAGGAGGTTAGGCCTTCCAGTACCAGGAGTCTTTTGTAGGTTGCAGAGTCCTCAGTGGACTAGGTAATTGGTAGAGCCTGATGATTCCAGAAATGTTGTTCTGCATTCATGAACTGCTGTACTTTCAAAGGTAACACACAAAAAGCTATCATTTCCTTCAGATACCCCAGACCACTTGCCTTTCTCCCTGGTTGTGCATGTCTCAGGGAAGGACTTGTATTCCCCATCCTCAGACTTTTGGAATCTGTCCTTGCATGTGCTGTTAGGGGTGAATAGATCCCACAGAAGTGTTTGTCAGCCCTTAAGGTCATCACCATTGTCTAAAGTATTGTGCATTTGATGCATGTGGAACAGGAAAAGTGGAAGGGGTCCCCTCAAGAAAAAAATTAATTTGTTTTTCAATTCTACACAAGTTTCGATGTTTTTGTAATTAGTTTTATTGGATATACCGTATCCTGTTGTTGTTAGTTTTTTTTTCTTTCCGATGAATGCGCTTGACCCTCTATGCTATAAATCCCCAGGTTGTCCCTCGTTGTATGAAATTAAATATTGCAAAATAGGTTTTGATAAGAGATTACAGCTTTGGGCTATTATAGTTGGAGGACTATGGTATTTGGAGTATGAAAGTATAGCAGTTTTTTTCTTGATACAGTAATACAAAAATCAAACTATGTGCTCTTTGTTCATGGTATTGTCACATAAACTTGTTCCCCCTTAAAAGTAATAAAGACCGGTTAGTGATGATGACTTCTCTTGAGTTGTGACAGATTAATGTATACTTCTGGTGAATGAAGACATGACTAACTGTATGGCGTGAAATGGTGTTGTGATAATGATTTCATTGTGGTGGTCATGATGGGCAATTGATGTGATCTAAAGGTACAATAACAGTACTTGTTTTGGGGAAAAAACTTTCTTCCGTTATGAATGTGTCGATGTTCTATTTTTGTGCACAGGGATTAAATTTATACGGTACACGGTACACTAACCTCAAGGAAATGGACCTTTCTAAACGTCCGCCACTAGTTTGGAAAAGTTTAGATACAATTGACTCTGAAGTATGCTGAAAATTAAAGGAAAAACAAAAGTAGATTATTGGTAGTTAGAAATAAGAGAAATGCATCAGAAAGCTGATTTAAACATTATTGCTTTTTAAAGCAACAAGATTCTTTTTTTGTTTATGTATGTGAGCTTTTTTCATTTTCACATTATTGCTTAGAGCATGATTTCTTATGTGGTTCATTAGAATGCAAAGAGAACAGAAAAGTTGCTGTTGATAATGTCTGCATGTATAAGTGGAGAGGGAGATGTGAAAGTCTTTTAGTGGAGAGGGAGATCTGACAGTCTTCTACTATAGAGTTCTTTGTGCCACGCTTGTAGTTATTATGGTACATTTAGATTTTTTTTGTTGAAATCAGTGGTATGGATTTGCAGCTTGTGTGTGTAGTACGTGTTGAATGAATAGACTTCTTTTCCCAGGTGCGACCAATGTGGACGTGGTACCTGCGGTCCGCGGGGTGCCCACTGCTCAGAATACCCCTCTCAGCCCTAGAAAGGGCTCAAACCCTGCACCCACTGAAGCCCCACCCGTGTCTAATAGCATGATGCATGTCCCAGATGACAGTATGTACCTCGCTCACAACACCCAACTACACTTCACATATAACCAGAAACAAAAGAGTGTGTGATATGCGTCTCTATGATTCTGTTTTCACTGGGGTGCTTCAGAATCAGAGAATGAAAGTGTGTTGACATGCTTGTTATTGTCAGTCTGCTTGTGGTTTCTTTTAGCTATTAGAATTACATGTCTGTTTTAATCGTTATGCTTTCATGCATGATATAGAACTGGTGTGCTTCTCTAAGAGCCTTTTTTCTCTTTTTTTTTTTGGTTCAAGTCAGTGTTGTTGTTTTTTCTGACGTTTGGTTTGATATGTGTGTGTTCTTTGGTGTATTGTTGCTGGACTCTGTTAAACATTCCTGGTGGGTGGTTGGCGGGTGCTCTGGTGTGGTTTGCTTCTTCTTTCCTATCAAACGTCTATCGTCCTGATCTCTCCTCCTTCTATTTTGTGTTTGTTCCTCTCTTGTAACACCTCTAATCTTCGGCACTTATATGACCTTATTGTGTTGCAAGTGCCGTAAAACTCTTTACTAAAACTAAACATTCCTGCCCATTCTACTCCTGTGTCAGTGTTACTGTTGTGTTCATGTGCTTCTTCGAAGTAGTCACTATTATTGTGTCGATTTGCTTCTCGTTAATATGTGTACTCTAGCTGTTCTTACCTCAGACGATCATGCTGTATTAAAGTCGTGTGTGCAGGTGGTAAAAGTGGCTTAGATGATCCCATTTTCAAAACGGACGGTGTTACAGTTATTAGAGGATACTGTCAGTGTTCGTGGAACGCGATTCTGTCATAGATAGCTTAGTGATAGCCAATTGTGTCTTGATCATATACAGTTTTGAGAGGGGTGGGGGGGTTGCGGGTTTTATAAACTATATGAAGGCATTCGAGTGCTACTTTTTCAAGTAGGTTGTATTTTAACTGGAATGGCAGCATTAATTTGATCACAAAATTATGTGGAATGGACACGTCATATGGAAATGTTTTCCTTTTCAACCGGTATGTACCATTTTACTCTTTTATGAAAGTGTCTCGTAACTTGTCATTGTCTGTCCGTACCTTTGAGCTCTCTTTCAGTTGTCAATGAGCCAGAACATTTGCATGCGCACCTACAGAGGTGTACTGGAGGAAAACGTAAAACATGTCATTTAAAAAAGGAGATGGTTTCTGCATTTCTTGGTATTTCTCATACGCGTTACATTACTACCCGAGTCTTATGGTTTTACTTAAGCTTGTCATTACCGTGATCTTGTTTGTGTTCTCAGGTACTTACAATCCAAACCGAACTGCAAGAGATTCCTCACCGTCCAATCTGAAACGCTCTTCATCAGTGGAAGATTTAAGTCATCCGGTGGCCAGCCAAGCCCCAGTATCGTCTGTGTCTTCCAGCACCTCAGTGCAGGTACTTACCTCTTTACAGTCAATAGTACAAATGAATAAGTCCTTATTTGTACAGTCAATTCCAATGTTGATGATTTGTTGCACTGTTAACAACTAATACAAAAAACTGTATTCAAGGGGGTGGTTGGCGGGTGACCCGTGTAGGTTCTGCCTTCTTTTCTGTCCTTCTGATGTTCTTTCTGTCAGTGCTTTTTCACCTGCTCTAAATGATCATAATTGTGTTGATGTGCTACTCTTTGCTTCCATCTAAAAAACATCACTGTTGTCTTTGACTACTTGAGATACCTTTTCGGTGATCTGCGGTTTATGAAGAAATCTGATAGCGTGTTCGCTTGCAAAAAACATTTTTTGTCTTGCAGTAGATGCAGTGCCTCTCTGCATTATCGAATCTTTTTTTCTGGTCTGAAGTTATTGGCTTCACTGATGGGTTCTATTTATTTGCAGTCCTTTTATTTATTTCTACCTGTCGGCTTCATTTTTGAAGTTATCATTTCCATAAGTTGGGATGAGTTGTGTTTTAACAATTAATTTCAACTTCCCTGATCTGTGCTATAATAAGGTTGGCATCTTTTCTCTTGTCTTATACTTTTGTTTGCGTTTTGTATTTTTTAAAAACAACAACCACAATTCAGTTGTTTCAGGTCTTAATGTCTTAGTATATTTTATTTAAAGTTGTTGGTCATTAACCTCCTGGATGCAATGTGACTTGGAATGCAGAGTTTACATTTTAAAATATTCACTAGAGACACATGGTTTGGCACTTAAGTAACCTAGTTGTGTTGCAGAACTGAAGAGATACATGTATTACAGGGAATGAAATGCTTTTACCATGCTGTGTTCTTACTTCTAACAGCAAAGTCGGGATAATTCACCTATGTGGAGGACCAACCGCTTCGGAAGAGCCAGAGCTTGCAACGAGAGCTTCCGTGCTGCTGTGGATCGCTCATATGATGCTTTGGACCCTGCGTTGATGGATACATGTGAGTAGTCGACAAGGCAGATATGTACCAGAAGAGTCTCACAGCACTCTGATTTGTATGAGAAAAACCAGCTACTGCGTAGTATGCTGAACTTGAACAGGCTTAACCCAATGCTATAGAGTCCTTAATTGAATCTTTCTTTTCCATTCCTGTGGAAAAAAATTTAGTTTTAGTAATGGGAAAGCTCAAACCACTTGAATGATGGTGTGAATTGTCTTTCCTGGTGTAATAGAGATTAAATGAAGTGAAAACAGTGCCTGTGGCTCAGTCAGAGCACTTTGTTCACATTTCCTCTTCTGTCCGCTGTAGACGCTACCCAATAAGCAACTGTTGGGCCTATAACTGGCAGTGGAGCGAATGAAACGGTGCCAATGGATGTAGTGTTCTTGGGAGGGAAAAAAACTGGAGTGAGAATGGTTCGAGTTGGTGGGACATGCTGTGTGTGCAGTGTAGTCAAAGGGAGAACAAAACTGAAGAGAAAGGCTGATTAGGAATAAGACAATTTATATGATATATATACCACAACCAAAATAGCAAGTAGCTCCACTCACAGATGTGGCCTGATTGCAAGGAAATTGAATCATGTGATGAGGAAAGACCTATGACTTACCTTGCAATTGATATTTTCTTTTTAAAGCACGCATCCCAAAACAGTCGCTTTTGTAGAAAAGAAAAGTAAACTTTTTAGCTGTTGTTTGACATTGCGTTACTAATAACTGCAGATCTAAATCAAATAACATGGTTGTGACAAATTTCAGTTGGCGTTGTTTATCTGTGAAATATAAATGTGTATATTTAGAACATATATTTTAAAGTATTTTTGCACCTTCTTCTGGGTTATTTTCTATTACAAAATGTTTGGGTTAGATTGTCTTTCTAATGTTTCTGTAAGTTCAGTGCTTTTATATCAGTACTGCCATACATTTGGTAAACTGTAAGGGATAATAGGACTCCTTTTTTAAAAGTTTGAATAGACGGTACAATTTTTATCAGGTATAGTCATCAAAGAAGTTGCACTTTTAAACACTTCTACGAGCAGCGTAATCATTGTTTGAAAAGATTTTTTGCATATCAGATGAGTAAGCAGCAAGTTTACTCTTTACGTTTAAAGATTGTCTCAATAGTTTCATCAAGTTGTAAGTCATAAGATTGATAGAAGTTGTAAGATTGCTAGAAGTTGTCAGGTAAACTAAGCCCGTTAATCTTTTTTTTTAACGTAAAATGATTCTGTCGATAGCAGTTAAAAAGAAGCAATCAATATTAACAGCCATGTCTTGTCTTCTACAGTGGAGGAGGAGAGTGCAGAGAGCGGAGCATTTACTCTGGAGCCTTCAAACTCTGGCCGTTCATCCATCAGCAGTGAGAATACAAGTGAAGACACCAACAGCCTCAAGAGACGGAAAGCTAAAGAGAAGGATAAGAAAGCAGGGGGATTGCTTAAAGGATTTTTGAGGTGAGTGAAATTATCTAAGGGCTCTTGAGACATGTTTCTTATTTCATTGACATTTTAAGAAAAATATAGGGGGGGGGGGGGTGTCTGTTGCTTAGTTCTCCCTGTAAAGCAAAGGTGTGTCCTTTTAAAAATGAAAATAAAATCTAACTTGTGTTATTAGAAGGGAGCTTATGGCAAAAGTTTAAAGATTTTTTTTCTTTCTTGGAGAAGGATGGGAGATTGTATGTTGTCTTACTTTTCACATGTGGAGGAAATGGCAGTTTATTTTCCAAATTGGTTCGTAGTGTTGTCCAAAAAGGCTGTCCAGGAAAAAGTCTCCGGAATTTGAAACTGCCATTCTCTTACACCATGCATTAATGATGTACAAGTTGGACAGCTGATACATTTTTATTAGGTGATCAAAAGGTTATGCCTGTTGTTTCACAGATTTGGTAAGGGACGCAAGTCAAATGAGGAGGCGATGCGGCGTTCTCGGTCAGAAGAACGCTCAGGGGACAGGGTAATAGATCGCAGGACTGACCTCTCGTTGGAGCGTCCAGTTGAGAAAAAGGACCGGTGGGCAGCACAGCCGTATGGAGACGCACAGAACCTGGGTTTTGTTCCGCTCACTGTGCCTCAGGGGCACCAGCAGATGGGGCGTAGAGCCAGCAACCAAGAGGAAGAGAGGTGTGCAGCATTAAATGAGAACAAAAAAATTTTCTAAGAATGATGATGATGTATGCAATTTTGTTTGGCTAGGAATTAAACTAAGACTATTGGAGTTTTGAGAGAGGTACAGATGAGAATGCAGCTCAGTATCAGATTGTAAGATAAATGCAAAGAAGAGTTGATCATTGATATATTTGAAAAGTGTAGATTGCTAGCTATCTGTGATACAGGGTTTTCGTTTGTAGGTAAATGCCACAATTTTTGTGTTCACGAACATGAGTTCGTGTCTGCTTAAAATTTCATATTGTCTTGAAAGGACCAAATTTTTAGTCAAATATATGTTTTTACTTCCTGAATGAGTGTACTGCATTGTCTTCTTCAATATTAAACTTCCTATCCACCCATACCCTTACTACAGATGTCTCAAAGTCTGAACTTTCTCTTAAAGTACTAGCAACTCTGTCTTCAAAACCCACACCCCCTCAGTGTCATGTATATTCTTAAATTTACAAAAATACCTGTAGTTGCTAGCATCTATGCTTCTTGAAATCATGTAACCCTTCCTCCAAAGAGAAGAGACTCTCAAGGTTTAGAGGGATGGTGTTCGCCTCTCATTCAAAAGGTCCGGGGATCGAAGCCTGATGGTGACAAACACATTTTCTTCTCTAAAATGTTCTCCTTTGACCTCTTTTCCTGCTGTCTAGTCCTGTTCTGTCATCCGTTTTCATCTCATCTCAATTTTCTCCTCCCCTACCCCGGGCCACCTCTGTGCTGCTTTCTCCCTTACTCCTGACTCTTTCCATGGCTACTCCGGATTCTAATTGTTTGATAATATCAAGCACTTACCCTTCTTGGATAAAGGGGGAACATTTTGGAAGATACCATTTGCAAATCGTGCACATTAGAGATCCCTTGGTGGTACTGAAATCGATAAGGGTAGGCTTTGGCTACCACCCAGGCAAAATTCAAAATAAATTCCTACCAAAACTGAAAATACTCTAGTCAGTGTAAAAATATTCAGAGTACCTTTGAAATTGATGTGTGGCTGCTTGAAGGCAAGAGGCCCCTTGAAGTAGGAAAAACAATCACATTTGCAAAAATCAGTGGCACTGCAGATTGAAGAACCATTAGAGAACTACCCCTGAGATCTAGATCTACCAGGGGAAAGCCCAGAAGAAGATCCAAAGAGAAATTTTAGAAAAATTTTTAATAGCTCAAAAAGTGAAATGTCTGTAGCTCGGAAACCATTTGGTATTTTCACCCTATCGTGACACACATATCTTACAGTAAGTTTAAATATGAGATTGATCGGACTTGCCCGAACTTTAACTCCTTGCCTTTTCATTGTGAATGGAAAAAAAAATGTGGGTTTTTAAAAAATGTCTTACCGGCTTTGAGGATTGCGCCAATGTTTTGCTTCTCTCTGTATGTCAGCAGGATCGAGGAAGAATACGCTCGTCTCAGGGAATTCCACGTGTCGAATCAGAGGCTGAGATCCCAGTCCGTGGACCCGACTTTGGGCAGGAACAAGCTAGGTTCTTCCTCCTCTTCCACCGAGCGCTCCAGTCCTTTCCAGCCGTACCATGGCTCCTCCCAGCAGCAGCAGATATTGCAGCACCAGCTCCAGCAGTTTCAACTACAGCAACAACAGCAGCAGCAGCTCAATGCAGATCCACGCACATTCCACCCGGCAGCCGTGTCCCAGGGACAGCCTCTCACTGGACAAGATCACAGAGGTAAGGTGTTCCTGCAAGTAAAGCACGATGGTCACTCAAATAAGTACCCATATGTGAATTTTTGTTAGTGTTATTGAACCTTTTTCAGAACTGGTGATTGGCACATTTTTCTGTACTGTTCTGTTCTGGCTTCGAGCCATTGTTGTCAACAGAGCAAAATATGCGGCTTGTCAAACTACTTACCTGTTGATGCAGATTTTCAACTTCATCCTGCAACAATATCCTCACAAAGGATCTCATTAGTCCTGAATAATTTAGCAGAAAATTCAATCATTTCTAGATTACTTTGGTGTTGTATACAATGTTTATGATGCGATTTTTTAAAATGAATTTTTTGTCCTACTTTTTCCTTAGAAAGAAAAACTCATTTTTTCTCTTTTGATTTTGATAAATAGACTCAAAACACTGGTCTTGCAATCATTATTATAATGTGTATGTATGGACTGTTTGTAGCCAAATTGTATTTGTGCACTGTGTTTATCAGTATGTTTTTTCTTGAGTATCATTTCTATGAGAAATACTAGACTTTGCCAGTACAGGTTTAATGAATGACCTGGATTAGGTAATTCAGGTCAAAGACTCCTTCTCTTCTTGCCATGTTGTCTTTGTCCACATTTCCTTTATTCCTTGTCCACAGGAGGGAGACAATACATGTCTTCGTCTCAGTCATCACTGGACCCCGGAGGGAGACCCAACATTGCCAAAGCAGTGATGTCCAGGGCTGAGTATATCCAACAGTTGCGCAGCCTGTACCAGCAGCGCCACCGCCAGCGACAGGGTGTCTACCCGCTGGACGACTCGGAGGAGTTTTACGAGATGCAGATACAGGAGCTGGAGCAAAGGGTACGGGCCTCGTCTGTCCTTTACTCTTTCATTGCTGTTGTGTTTATCACTACAGATTATTGCGGAGTTCTGGGTAGTTGATGGACGTTGGTATGGTTTGCTTCTTCTACTTTTGAACCAAACCTGGGGGAAACCTATACTCAACACTGGAGGTGACATTTTCAACCTTTCCTTCCTCAAGGCTCTTTGTGATAGTTCAAAATGTTCACTCCCTGCTAGCTCAAAGCTAAGGTTGCAGACACATTTCCAGTTTCCACAAAGTGTGTCGCATATAATTCTAATGTGGATCCATACTTTTTGCTCTGTAATAACATTATTAACTCTCAGATTTGATGAGAATGTGGGACCAAGTGAGTGTAGAGCTAGATTTTTTTCAGTTCTTGCAAGAGGTAAAAAATGTTCATTAAAAAAGATGCTCCAAAACTGACCAAGTTATGATTTTGACAGTGTTCAATACCATAGACCCTACGAAATTGGGCTTTGAAGTTATCTGCCGGAAAAAAAACCCTCTGTACTATTTAGTGGGTTAATAAGATTGTGTTCTATAAGTCATTAAGATATAAACAGAAACATTAAGTCATGGTAGATGCATGTGAATAATTTCATTTTTAAAATGGTGTGTCCTGTCTCTTCATTTATGTTTGCCTCTTTTTTAAAAACATTTTTCTTTTAATTAGCAGCTTTGATGGCTTAACTTGTATTGAAGTGTTTTTGTTTCTTTTTCTTTTTCAGCAATGGACTCCTACATCTTCTGACAACTCCTACGATGGTAGGAGCAGCAGAGAGCCTGTTCGGTTTACAGACAGGTAAACAGAACTCTTGTAATACCGAATATGAGTTGACTCGGTGTTGTTCAGTGGTGTAATGAATATATTCATCATTCTTTGCAGTGTTCCTCATAGCAAGGATCTGGGAGGTTTTGTTTGCATAACATGCACATTATTCAGCCTCTCGTACTGTTGTGTTGAAATTTTGCTGTGAACAGACTTTAGTTATTTTGTGAGCTCGGAGCCTATGTTTTGGATCAGTCATTGGGCTTGACTTTTCCCCTGTTTGTACCACTCTACTTAGCTGTGCATTTTGTGGGAAACATGGTTCCTTGTCGTGATTGCCTACTTAACAATAGCGAGTAAGAAACATCATTTTCAACACGTTTACTACACACAAGGATATATACATTGTTTGCCACAACTAAAGTTATTCTTACCTTTGTGATGGATGGACTATTTCTGACAAATAGATTATATAGTATCATTTAAACCGCAGACATGGTCATGGCTGGCCAGCGAACCATTGAATATCTCATCTCTAAGGTTTTAAGCCAAGGAAATTAATTGTTCAGTTGAGAAGAATCTAGCAGGTTGTACCAGTTTTTCAGTGTTGGATTGCATTATTTGTTTTATTTCTCTGTTGGTCCACAGCAGTATTTATAAATTTTCTCATCTTTGGTGAAGCAAGTATACTGATGTGTATGTCTTTCAATAGATTCCAGGGTTTTTACAATTTTAATACATTTGGGCTTTTTTATTTGTCATATGACAGACCACCAAGTCGACTGCCAGAGGATTCCCCTGAGCGTCCCTATGGCAGTACCTCCAGCATGGTGAACGCAAGCTCTTCCTCCCTGCCTCACACCCATCAACACCACCAGCAGCAACGGTACCACCAACACCTGTACAACACTGCCCCCCATCCAGGCTCTCGCCCCTCACCCCGCGGCCCGCCCAGCAGTGCTCATGACATGGCAACTTACTACAAACAGCAGCAGCAAAGAGACCAGCATATTCAGCACCTTCAGCAACATCACCATCATCATCACCACAATCCTCCCTCCCCACATGGGGGTCTGAGAGATGATTACGAGTTGCCCAGCGGCCATGAACACTACAACAGTAACATGAACTACCCCATACCTGACTCTAGGTCGCAGCAGCCGTTCTATACAGGGCCTCCGCAGGCTTATCACCACACTGCTCCACACCCGTACAATCATCACTACAGGGGCAACCACCCGCACACAGACTCCAGCTCGGCAAAAGTATGACAAACCGTATCAAAGTACAGCAAACATTAACATTCAGGAATAAACTTGGCATTCTCACATACAGAAGTCAGTGGATCACTTCTGGCCTAGCCCACTGGGTTGTCCTGTCTTGCCTGTGCTGTTGGTGCGGCACCTGTGGAAAGTGTGAACACACGCTATAATGCTCAAGTCTTAGCCACTCTGTCTCAGCATCTCAGCTGGTGATGCTGTGTCACCAGTCTTGCTGTGATGTTGTTCCTTTAATTCTTGACACTTAATTGATTATAAAAAATAGGGCAAAAACAGAAGTTGTTTTGTCTTTTTTAGGAGTGAATGTTCCAATAGTTTCACCTCAGTCACAAATTCTGTCAATAACAATTTGTGCCCTCCCAAAAGCTATATATGTCAAATTCGTAGAGTTGTGAATTTGATTTGGTTCTGGGAATATTTCAAAAGATGAAAGCATAACCAAATTCTGATGTTTACATCAATTGTAACCCTGGCTGTCTCATGGGGGAGTGCTGGAATCGAGGACTAAACAAGCAAACTGTTGGCTCTCTGTTCTTCAGCCCTGAGTGTAGCCTTTGGGTGACTCTCAGCTTCCTACACTCATTCTGCGTGAGATACAGAATGTTCACAGGTTCTCCCTGGACATAAACTGTGCAGAAAGGGTATGTGAAACCCAAGATGGGTCAGATATTTATTGTGGTTGTGACCTGCAGATTAAAGTTTTCTCAGAACAGGACAAGTCATGGACAAGAATGAAATAGAATTCGAGTACATTTTGATTGTAGTTGCTGGGTGCACTGTTTTCAGGGACTATTGTGATGGGGCTCTTTTAGTTTTCTGGCTTTAAACTGCTACTTGTACTTCGTATGCTAATGAGATTTTGAGTGAACCACTTTCAAGTAGCTAACACTTACCTTCTAGAGTAGACTTCTAAAATGCTGGGTACTTAACGGGGGAGTGCGGGGGAGGTGTCTATCCGGGGAACTAATTTAATGTGATAAAAATACAAACTGTAGTAGCATTGCCCTGGAAAGCAACTTGAATGTAGGTTAAAAGGACTTACTAATGCCAGTCTTTTAATTTGGTATTGAGATCTGTCATTGTTTCAGGTCATTTTGATTAAAGAGATAGCTGCAACAGAAGTTATTTCAGTTGCTTGGTGCTTACACTGCACAGGATATCAAACATGGTATTGAATGTTAACAAAAACAGCAGAGCTGTTATTATTTAGACTTTTGTGTCCTTAGATTTTTCCAACTTTCCTACTCTGTGTACCATCCTATTTGTAATATGTAATATGTGTAGAAAAATTTCAGCTTTATGAATTTTCATAATTAAAATGCACAGTTAAAAAAAAACATTCCTTGCCAGGTATTATGAAAGCAGTATGCATTATTTATTAGCTGTTGCTACAATCCTTATATATATGACACCATTATAGTTTCCCTGTAATTTAGACAATACAAAATGTTAGAATACCCATTCTGGAAGATGTATTATTATCTCAAATAAATAATAGAAAGTCGGGCATTATTTTTTTTCTCTTTTAAAAAATTTTTTTTAACTGAAAAGGAGCTTCACAGTCACAGTCGTAATAAGGGAATCTTGACAATTACTCATGATCGTAAGTGTTCCATAATAGTGCTGCCTTTATTTCACTGTATAGTTTTAACTTCAACATAACTTGCAATCAGGCATAATCATATTGCACAGCAAGATTTGTTTAGCCGCATATTGTACTTTTTTTGTGCAGATATATATGTTTGTTTTTACTTATTTGAAAAGAATGACATCAATAAATCTCATTGCTGACTGTAAGTTGTCTTCTTCGCCTTATCAACACTGAGATGACTTGGACATGAATTTGGTGAAGAAGACACGAACACCTAGTATCAACGCAGTTTAGAGACAGGGAAGTTTTTTAAAAAATGAGTAACGTTATCCTATTTTCCTGATATTATAAACCTTCTCTAATTTCTCTTTTCTCCTAAGTGGGAAGTTAAAATTCAATAATTTTTTACGGTAGTAACTAATATGGTTAAGTATTGTCCTTTACTTGTGAAATTCAAATTAAACTTTTTTTCTTTCTAGTGACACATTCCATTTTATGTGAGCTGTAGTAGGGGCAAAAGAGCATCACAAAAATGGAAAAAAGTTATCGGACTTGAATGAAAACCTGTGCTTTCCAAGACTGTTTTAACTTAAAAAAGGACGTCGAAGCTATGAATGTAGCTGCAAATAGATTTCTCTCTCCACGTTGTGTCTTTTCATCAGAGGTGATGAAAGATTTGGAATTACAGGACTTGATCTGACAGTTTAGTCGATTATTTTTACAACTTCCTGTTTTACGTCAGCTAATGCAAAGTCCATCGTAATGCTTTCCAGGTTGTGGTATAACTTAAATGTATATATACAGATTATAATTATTACATAGTCCTATTTAACTCTAAATTTAAGTCCTAGGTGACATTAGTGGTTGTGAATTAAAAATTCTCAGGAGCAGATTCCAGTGTACTAACTTATTTTCATTAATTTTTTTATTTTTGCTTGAAAAACATGACTGAACTTGGGGTTGAAAAGACCTGACTTCTGATTAGAAAATGATTATACTGTTTGCTGATCTTTCACTTATTCTTTTTTGGCATGACAGGGCAATCACTACATTCAGGTATTTTTATACAGTGGGTGCCGCATTCAACGAGGTCACATTCAACAAGAAATGGGCTCCAAAGAGGTTATCCTTCATCTCCGATTTTTTCCTCTATATATCTCTTTGTAAATGTACATCAGCTCCAACGAGGTTGCAAACAGACCGAAGTCGCCTTCAACGAGGTCGCGATAACCATATTAAAGCAATTAGCGGTCCCAAAAGCGAAGAACTTTTCTCCTTTCTCTCCGCTTCACATGATGCACAAGGCCCATATCCTCCATTCCAAACATTGCTAGATCTAGTGTGCCTCCTAATAATATGGGCCCCAAAGCCAAGAGGATGGGTGAGGGTTGGCCTAAGGTAGGGGTGGGAGGGTACGCGATGCGGGCTGTGTGAAACTGGATGGGTTGGCCTAGATCTAGACCGTCACTTTTTAAAAAAAATTTCTTCTTCCCCTGATCAGAAAATCCTAGCTCCCGCTTTTACTTGATGTCAATTTAGGCCTAGATGTGAGAGGGTATGTTTCCACAAGAGAAATGTTCCCAAAAAAAAGGCTGGGAAAAAAAAAAAAATCAGAAATGAGGGTCAGAACTCAGCTCAAACACGCACACACCGATGCTGTTTGAGATTTTCTGCATCAGGGGGAACGACCGTTCTAATAATATGATATTGGTGCATCGTGTAATACAGTGGAGTCCACTTATAACGAGTCCTGAGATAACAAGAAGTCTGTTATAAAGACACTATTCTAAAACCCCGTTTTTTTCCCTTCTTTATCTTTGTAAATAAAATACTGCTATTGCGACAAGCCGGTCCCACAACCTCGTGAATGCGACACCCACTGTAATAGGGTGGTTTTTGTGAGGGCAGTGCCCTAAGTTCTTAGAATGCTGAAAAAAAAGACCTGCTCGAAATAAAATCTACTATGGGTGATATACATTTAACGGCCACACACCCCACCCCCCAAATCGTTTTCTTTTTTTAACTTAACATGACACTTCATGCCAGTTCTCAATGTCTCTTTTCCCTCATTGTGAAATTGTTTTCTTGTTTCTATGAATTCTACTTTTTCTTCTCCTTTTCATTTTTCTATTTCAGTCAAATTTAAAAAATGTGGAGATCAAAACCTCTATAGCTGTTCAACAAACTCTTGTCTTATGACATCAGCATGAATTGTTAAAGTGAATAATTGTGAAAAAATATGGAAAGATTTTGAATCATAAACCAGGGAGCATGACTAAATTATCTATGAAGGTGAGTTGGCTTTATTTGTCATGCCCTCTGTGCTAAGGTTTTGCATGTTTTGTGTGTGTTAATTTTGAGCTCGAATGGCTCTGTGCATTAAATTTGCATCAAATTTACAATGCACATGCTGAATTGAGAATATCTTGCATCACATATTTTAAGACATCTGTCCGTAATGATATTATTGGTGCTTACTACAAAACTACTCAATCAAATCATACCTGTACAGCCTTTTGAGTGACCGGTATTTTTTTCAATGATCAATTTTTATTGAATTCTAAAAATATTTCATTGTGAGTATTTAAAACTTTTCTTGAAGGAATTGTTTTCTGGGGCAATGATATATGTTACAGAATGGCACAGTGAATCTTGGTTGCTGTTTTGAGAGGGAGCTCGATGAAAGGTTTTTGTTCTGATGTTTCCCTTCGTTTTTAAAAAAATACCAAGTACTACGAGATCTACATGTATTTTGAAAATGACACCTAAAACTCACGTAGAAAGAATGTCTCCACTAGCCCAGCATTCTCTCACTGCATAATATGCAGACATTCCTTTGTTTTGTTTTACCACTGGGTTGAAGATGAAATAAGTTTTCTTCTGTTCCCATTCTGCACCATCTCTGCACAGGACTCGTTGGTTCTCGTCTAATGTCCAGGTTTGTTGTCATTGAACAATCTTGTATTAACTAGTATTCTAGTAAGCATTTGCAAGAGTAGGGCAGTTGATAAGTCCTCTCTGCAGGTTTTCCTGTCTGTGCACGCCTACTGCTAGTAGAAATGTGGTCAGATCAGAGAGGAGTGGTGAACTATAAACTTACCAGAAGTTCTCTGTTTAACAAATAAACCTACATTGTTGTTAATTTTTGTCTTAAGTAACTATAAATTCATGTCTGAATTCTTTTTTTGAGAAAGTAGGCTTGTCCTCAAACTCACTACAAGTGACTTTATGACCAAGATCTAAAAAAATATAAATTAGTGAAGGGGCCATCCCTGTTTGTATTGCTTGTGTGAGTAAATAGGTGAACACATATGTTTGCATCTGATCTTGATGGTTACAGTACAACAACAGTGATGGTACAGTTCACCTTGAATGTGTGGGGAATTCTGCTTTTTCTTCACAAAAGAGCTGGTTTTGCCTGGTACAAGTTTTCAGTTCGTTGCTCTTTTGAAAGTAACCAGTTTCGTGAAAACTAAAATCTTGAAAAGCAAATGAAGGTTATATTAGTTATAACTCTGGGAACTTGATATTTGGGGTTTTTTGGTTTTGTTTTTTGGTTTGTTTGTTGTTGTTGGTTGTTGTTGTTTTTTTTTGGGGGGGGGGGGGGGTCAAATGAACAAGAACTAATTCTCCTTTCTGCACAACATCAAAATTTTAGACGCATGGCTTGTATTGTAAGGAGCAACAACTCCCATAGTGAGAGTAATTGAAGATGTCTTTTAAAATGTCCACTTCTGCAGTACACAGATGTGGTAGAGTATGGATGGTGTAGTGATTGATTGGGACGTTTGTTTCACATTGATTTATATTCCAGGTTCAAGCCCCGCAGAGACATGAGACTTTTTAAAGCGAGTCTGATGCTTTTTTTTTTTTCTTCTGTTGTTGAGTGATATCAGAACACAAGCAACATCTCATAAATAACAGTTCACTTCATGAATGTCGATCTAAGAGAGTAAACTGGAGATATAACAGAACTTTAAAAATCTAACTTACTAAGCATAACATGACCAAGTACTTATAATGATAAAGTCATCCATTGTCACTGAGTGTGAGTGTGAAGGAAACATTTTCGTCTTTCACTTTCATTACTTAAATCTGTGCTTTTTGTTCCCCTTCTACATGTTATATCAAGATGCATTGATGAATAATAGACTTTGTCTCTCCAAATGCCACTGTCTTCACTGTCTTGTCATGTCATGTGACCAAGTGTTCAAAGATTTATCATTGTAACTTTGTCAGAACAGGGCCAACATTCCACAATGGACAAAGCTGATGGCTGATACTGATAGGGAAAAGAGACTAAAATTTTCATCTGATGCACCAAAATCCAAATGGACAATTGCGTTTATTTACAAGCCATGTTCCTTACGTGAGCAGTTTAATTCCATGTTATGTTGTGAAATGAGTATAATAAATTGTAGGATTTGTTTATATAGTCTACTAAGGTACAGTGGCTGTGATAGGAGGCAGTTGTAGCTTGTGTGCTGTTTTTTAACATCCAATAATTTATTTCTGTGCTGCGCCTTGTTTGAGTAGGAGAGTTCATATTTTTAAGGGTACAAATTTGAAGTGATTAAGTTTCTATTTTTATAAGGTTGTGACTATCTTCAAATTTGATGCTTAATGTAAAGAATCTAAGGAAATGCCACAAAGTTCTACCGATAGAATTGTCTGCTGGCACTCCAAATTTCGTTCATTTTTAATGCGTTGTGTGAATATGTGATCTTGATTTAAAAACATTTTATTTAAAACTTTCTTTTGATCTATTTATAGAGCATTACCGTGTTTTGTTGTGTTTTGATTTCAACTAGCCAAGCATGTATTTTCCCTGTAACTACAATTGTATTCATCAAAATTTCAAAAGTTTATCCTCTTCACCATCCTCTCAGATATTTTAAAGTTTAGAGTCAAACAGAAATATCCTTGAATGTGGTAATGCTTGAGTCGAAAAGTATGTATCGATCAACTGGGGGCGGACCAGTTTCTCTTTATGACTATCTGGCAGCACTGTTGATACTGTTACTGTTATTCAAAAGATGAACAAGGTTGGGGAATACTCGGCTCTAAGGAGGTTTAAACCATGTAGCGTTAAATGGAGGGCCACCTCTGTCATGCAAATAGACTTGATGCGGCATCCGGAAGGGAGTCTTTGCAACTTGACAAACAGATGGTAAAATGTTTGTTTGGAAGAATTTGTGAAATTTTTATGTGCGCCAGCAGTTGAGGGAGATGAGTTTTTAGTCGCGATTCAACCAAAGTGTGGAATTAAAGTTTGTATCCCTCTGGAAGACTCGAATGATTTCACAATTATAACATTTGACATGTACCCACTCCCTTTATGTCCTGCCATTTTACCTTTATGAGACTGGCATTGCCAATGCCCACACCCACACTTATGTCATCATTCAAATTGTCTACATGGGCTTTGTTTTTTTGGGGGGAGGGTTGTTGTTTTTTTTTGTTTTGGCAGATAAGCACCTTGATAGTTACACCCTAGGAGTAGTACATGTAACAGGAAAACTCAATAACATTATGCTACAGAAGAAAAAAATGAAAACTTTTTATATGAAGATTAACCAGCCCACAAATGTTGATCTCTTTATTAACGTGCAAACACAGTGGATTTGCCTTCCCCGCCTTTCGTGGGGGTATCGGCCCCGCCTCCCTTTTTTGGCGAATGTTGTTTTTAATCAACAATAAATGCGTTGCGCGCGTTACAGTGAGTTCTCCTTTCGTGCCTTTTGCTTCACTCCCCCATACTGCAAAAAAGAGCGAGGGATCGTCTACTAAGGTCTGCCCTTAAATTTCATTTGCCTTCTTTCGCCTCGCTCGTTCCAACTGTGTACATAGTGGTATTGTTGGGGGTTGTCTGGCATCATTTTAGAAAATTTGTTTTATGGAAGTCCAATCTTATCAAGGAGAAGCCAAAATGCAACAACTTTCATTTTCAGATAAGATTTTTTTTTAAAATGGTCATTTCTAGGAACATTATCCACTAAATGATGATATTTGCAAAAAGTAAATGTTTCTCCGAGTTCATTAATTGTATGAACCCCATTTCAACGTGAAATTTGACATCATTGTTTGAACTAATGCAGCAACATCAGCTTCCAAGAGCAACAAGAAAAGGATGAGGGGAGGAGGGCGAATCCACTCTGTCGCTTCAGGTCCCTTCCCTTTCGCCTCCTTATTCTCACATTTTTTAAGTAGGCGAAAGGGGTGAAAGGCCGATCCACTGTGTTTGTACCGTTATAGTTTGCTTTATATGATTTGGAAATTATGGCTTCCATTCATGGAGTGAAAAAACAACCAGTAAAAAAGCTATTCCATGGATTTTGCTTAAGCTGATGTAAGGGGGACACAGAGAAATCTTGTACATGACCATGAAAATTATCATATAAGTTTCGTTCCTTTCCAGAGTGAGAAGGGGACACAAACAAAAGCCATCATTATCTCATGTTCATTTTAAGCAAAGTCCACCCTGTATATGAATATTTTAAACCCTTGTCATAATATTATCAGCACACCCTTATTTTGCTGAAGAAAGTGTCAGCAATATTAAGAGACAATATTTGTCTGACTGTAATAATACATTCTGTTACCATTTCAGAAACCTTTTCGATTGATCCGGTAAGCAGCATTAATTGGAAGATGCTAATCTGTATTTCCAGTCCAGTGACATTGAAGACTTCTTGCATTTGCTCATTGTGTTCAGTGCTTCCCTTTTGAGCTTCTTCAAGTTATTCTGTTTCTTTGAAAATGCCTGCAAGTTATAGAGAATATAATATACCTCCTCCTTCTTGTTGCCCTGTTTCATTATTTTTTTTCTTCATTTGGCTTGTAGTTTTGTACATACAAGTATGTTCCAAGATGTAAGAATATGTAAGCTATTATTAATCATATGCAACTTTTTAATAAATGACCTTGCATGTACTTCAAACATTTTTTGTTGTTGTTGTAGCTTTCTTGTTTATATTGGGCTGTTAGTGAATAGGTCTTCGTGTCCATACATCTTAATCCATCATGTTTTTGTTGGGTTTTTTGGGGCGGAGGGGGGGGTTGGGAAGTGTTTTACAGCGCTCGCAATTGCATAAGGTCATATGAGCGCGCTGGACATATTAAACTTTTTCAGTTGGTAGGAAAATTTGAATTTTGCCCTGGTGGTGGCCGAAGCCTACTCTTATCGATTTTAGACCACCAAGGGGTCTTTAACGTGCGCAACTTGCACATGGGCCCTCTGAGATTTTTCACCCTTGTCCGAGAAGGCTAGGTGTAGATCTTTCCTGCCTGAAGATCAGGGGTGTGGCTGAAAGACAGCAGTAAGGAGCCAAGGAGTAGCAGTAGAAAGGCTGCAGAAAGAGTCAGGAGCCTAGTGGGGCAAAGGAGGTGAGGGGGTGGGGGAAGAAAGAGGAGACGGAAGCAGACGACAGAACATTGCCAGAGAGCTTGAAAGGAGACAATTTTAGAGAAGAAAATTTTTTGGTTGCTCCCCGGATTTGAACCCGGGACCTTTGAATGAGGAGAGGCCAACACCTCTCTAGGCCATGAGAGCCTCCAATCCATCATGTGGAGCTGTGGTCAAGGCACCTTAGGTAAAGAAGAAGCTAAGGGCTCAAATCCAGAAAGGTTGGTTGTTTTTTTTAGGGGGCAAGGACTTTCCATTGTTTTAGATGTGTTGGTCAAGTACATAATATAGCTTTGCAATTCCCAGACCAGAGGGGCACAAATCTGACAAACTGTCTCTGAGTACTCTCTGACCACCTGTCTGTAGCTTTTCTTTGCCTGCCTGGGTCAATAAATATGCACACATACACCAACTGGTTATGATAACAGGAGAGACCAAGCATCCCTAAACGTGCAAACACAATGGATTTGCCTTCCCCACCTTTTTGGAGGGGTATTTTCCTTGCCTCCCTTTTTTTTTGGCGAATGTTTTTAATCAACAACAAGTGCGTTGCGCACGCTACAGTGGGTTCGCCTTTTGTCCCTTTCGCTTCACTCCCCCATACTGCAAAAAAAAAATGAGGGATCGTCAACTAAGGTCTGCCCTTAAATTTCATTCGCCTCACTCGTTCCCACTGTGTACATAGTGGTATTATTCGGTGTTGTCTTGCATCATTTTAGAAAATTCGTTGTTTTTGTTTTAAGTAAGGTCCAATCTTATCAAGGAGAAGCCGGAATGCAACAGCTTTCATTTTCAGATAAGATTTTTTTAAATCGCATTTCTAAGAACGTCACATTATCCACTAAATGATGATATTTGCAAAAAGTCTAAATGTTTCTCGGAGTTCATTGATTCTATGAACCCAATATCAACGTGAAATTTGACATCATCGTTTGAACTAATGCAGCAACATCAGCTTCACAGAGCAATAAGAAAAGGATGAGGGGAGGAGAGCGAATTCACTTTGTCGCTTCAGGTCCCTTCCCATTCGCCTCCCTTTCCTCATTTTTTTTAGTTGGCGAAAGGGGGTGAAAGGCCCATCCACTGTGTTTGTAACTTAACCCATAACTCTACCAGAGACAGTCAAATTGGTCACATCACAAACAGAAAGAATTCAAAGGCAGCAACAGTTCAGACCAGATCTCAAAACGTTGGCATGCGCACGTGTATACTCTAGCGTGTGTCGGGGTCAGATAGGCGGCCTGCACATGTGTGATTGTGTGTGTATGTCAGGGGCGTGGAATGTCGCAGATACAAACGCGTCAGTCTTTTCCCCCCCAGCAACTGATCATTATTACATGATAAGCTAGTCTTGACATAGATCTACGAAATAAATTGTGCGCTGGTCTATGGAATCAAATGTTGCCGTACGCTAGGCTCTACACAGCAGCACAAATTTTTGGCAAACAATCGAGACGACACAGGTGTGCATTTGAACTAATCAGTCTTTTTGGTGCACAGCTCATAATATGCAGGCATTTCGGGCACCACTTGTTGCTTCTCTTTATACATTACTTGCTCAGTGCCTGTAATTATCTATACAAAACCTCACGTTTGAACACTCTGATTCAACGAGATTTTAGGTCAGACCCGGCGACCTCGTTGAATCCGAGTTCCACTGCACGTTTCTGCAAAGCAGAATCATTGTACATGGCAAAAGAGAAACGTTTCATCTACATGATGATATGGGTTTTGGCCAAAATATTCAACCATTATCATTATAATACAAAGATAATACAGCAGTCTCCACCTAAGATCCCACCGCTTACGATCCCGGTTCGCTTAAGATCCCGCTGTTTTAAGAAAACAGAATTTTTACTATACAAAAGTCACCCCTAAGATCCCGCTCTGATTCACTCTGAAGGTCTACATTCGGCTAAGATCCCGCATTTCAGATCATAATTTGCGGAAAAAACCCTGGGTGGGACAGCCGATCAACCAAGAGTGAAAATTTGAGATCAATAAACTGTCCATCGCATCAAAGATCAGCTACTACTATCGTGAATGTGATCACATACACGTTGTAAAACTCGATGAAGCGATACAATGTTTGCCCCAGACGGGATCACACCGGGGTGTGAACTGACCGACACGTTTGTTTTCCCCGAACATCTCACTCACACCTGAGCTATCCCCCTAAACTTACATCACTCGCTGGGTGGGTAGGGCCTACACGTTCACTCCTGGCGGGATCACATTGAACTGTGAACTCTTCCCTGACCATTGGAGAAGTTGTTTCTACTCCCGAATTTGCGAGACAGACTGAATTTTAATTGGTGTGTTCACAACGTAATAGTGTGTAACGACAAAGGCGGTTGGGGGAGATGGAAAGCTATACATTTTCGACAGGTAAGGGGGAGGGGCAACTGGATAAGCGTAGATCTTGAGCCTCATGATAGGATAATAAGTGAAAATGGCACGCCTCATCCCACTATGCCCTGTGATAGGTCATCAAGGTTAACCACTCTTTGCTCGCCATACGTCATAAACCCACCAAGCGGTCACGTCAGTTCATTTTAGAGTGGAGGGAGACCATTTTACCGATTGTAAGCCTTAACATGGGTCACCATAGATTCTTCCCTGGGTTCGTCGGTAAAGATCCCGGTTCGCCTAAGATCCCGCTTTTTCTTGCTCCCGAGCACCGGGATCTTAGGCGGAGACTACTGTAGTCACTTGCTTGAAAGCATTTTCATCAACCTCTCCTAATTTAAATATAACTTTCCAGCAGCAATACATTACACTTCTACCATCTCTGAATACCTGTGTTTCCCTAGACCACTTGGGATCCAGAAATTCTGGGACCCAGGACCTAAAAAATGCTGAGCATGTTTTAGAAAGAAAAAAACCCATCTATGCAGAGAAACTTCTGTAAACTTCAAAGACAATAGCAAACTGAGAAGAGAAAGATAATTTTGGGATATCTGAATTATTTATTTTGGTTCAATGAAAAAGTACACAAAGAATATCATATATGCAACTGTAATACAGTGAAAAAGCATATATTTAGGACAACAATTCTTACAAAGAAGGCGACAATTTCTGTAAAAAATGCTTACAGGAAATACATGCTCCTTTTGAAAAAGTATGCTAACAAAAGAATAATGCTCCAAAATAAAATGTTACGTTAAGCCTCCTGCTGTACTTTTTTTTGGTCATAAAAGTCATGGCAAAAAGTCAGTATGAGCACAAAAGCAATAATTTGACAGGCAGTCATTTCATGATCGATCTCTTACCTTGAGCAGACAGCAGTGGATAAGTAATACTAAATACCCATTATGCTCACATAACTTCACGTAACAAGACTAACTCTGACTCTGACACTACAAATAAGCGAATGTATCAACAAGTAGTCTTTTTCTGACAAGCGAGATAAAATATATATGGATGTGTCTTCACAGGCTCAATACTTGTCTAGCTTCATTAAGACAAAAAATTCCTAATTAGTTGGTCATGTTAACAGTTTCTCTGAAGTCCAAAAAACTTCGTTGTTCCCCAGGTTGTTTGTCTGTGCCAGATTTTCTCAGCGGGCCACTGCACACATGACGTGATCATCCAACAAGATAACTTGACAACACAAACACTATGGAGATATGAAATCTGTGGATTAAAATAAAAAATTAAAATCAAGATAACATTCACTGCTCAGTAGATAACAAAAGACGTAATTGTGAATATGGGAAGTAAAGATAACAGTGGGCTTTCGTAAACATCTGTGTTTACATGTGCTAGTAGTAGTATGTGTTTCTTCAAACAAGAATATACTCAAGCTCTATAAAGCCCTACAAGAACAATTTGTTCACTTTTAGAAATAGGTACATGTAGTGACTTGTCATTCGTACACTTTCTCTTATCCACAGCCCTTCTAATGTAGCTTCATCAGTAAAACTCGCATTTTCTAGAAGACAGCCTAAGTGGCTGAATGTATGTAATCTTCACAGTAGACAATATAAATTCCTCCTCCAAGAACAGGAAAGACAATAAGACAGCCTGGTAAAGAATATTCCTATGCTCAGATCTCATCCCTCCTCCCCTCACTTGAAGCCACAAAATCACATCAGTTCTCTTCCTACAGCTCTTCTCGTGACTGACATGACCCTCCTTATGTTGGATTAACAAATTTTCTTTACAGACTCGCTTGCATGGAAAGTACTACAACTGCAAGTAGTACAACTTCCAAGGCTTCTGTCACCCAAAAGTCTAATGATTTAACACCAGCTGTTTAGTGCAAGAAGAAACAAAAAAGACTTGACAGTAATATAGTGAAAGAACACATGGGACCTACCAGTGGCACCCTCCAACCACCTTCTTTCTTTCTTTTGGCTGAGGATGTGTTTGCTGATAAATGTTTATACTTAGAAGCCAAAACATTGCGTTTCATTTCTTTCTCCCTCAAAAACCAACCCTGCTTCTCAACAGCACTTTGTCAAAGTAACGAAGTTCACTTAAGTTACATAAACATAGTTATCTCCCTTCCTCCCTGTCCCAAATCTCATCGTTTAGTATTCTTCCTCTCCTTTCATACTCTACCTCTTACCCATCACCGTAACGCATTCTATAGACCAATGGTAAAATCCAATTAGATACTAACTATAAGGTCAAGATAATCTTAAACACGATGAAGGAGAAAAAATCAATTCAGACTTTCAACTGATAAATCCAAATTAACACCACCCTACACCATTCACAGTGAAGAAATGTTGAGGTAAGAGCCACGAACAAGGAACACTGAGATCGACATGATGATAATATTGATAATAAAAAGGGATAGTGTGAGGCTTACACAGAGCTAACTAAATGTCAAGGACTATTAAGTAGGAGGAATTCAGCAGAGGGTTGTTGAAGAATGGCAAGGTCAATAAACATACGAGTCACTTGGCAATAAACAAACAGGGTAAGCAATTTAAAAGACAAAAGCCAAAGAATAAAACAAGTACACTCTATCTATAGATGATGGAACTTTTTGCACAACAATTTTACAAATTATATTTAATTTCAGGGTATTCCTAAGAGCCTGAGGCTGAGATATAATAATGGAAGCTAACTTTCAATGTACCAACACAGTTTGATAAAGAGTAAAGTACTGTAAAGAGACCATAGTGCCGCATAGTCATAAGTAAAAATGTTGAGTAGAAATGGGCAGCAGATCATCACAAAAACGAGACTTGTAAAAGATATCAGTTGATCCATGAATACGTAAAACATTTGGCACTTATGTCGTACAACATGACACAATTGTGAACAATTATTAATTGCGCATGAAAAAGTCAAGCTCGTAGACTTGTGTGTGAATGATTGTCAAACAACCACCGAGTGGATGTGCCATGGGCTGTGTGCAGCTTAGTGTATACTGTGTACTTCTGGTGGCCAGTTCTTTGGTGGTACAACGAGGTAAATGTTTAATAAGGACCATACAACTGAGACAGTTGGTGGACAGCGGTGTAAAGGCACAAATACTATGTTTATGTTGGAGACGCCTTTCGTAAATTGGCAAAACCTGGCGGTAAGTGGGGCTGCCGGTACAAAGCGGTTTGACTGTACTAGTACACATAGTGATAGGGGAGCAAGGAAAGCAATGAGGTAAGGCAATCATCAAAAACAGTTTGGGTGTATTCTGGACACTATACAAATTATGAAAATCACAATAGCCAGCCAGAAAAACTCACTGTAAAGGTGAAGAAAACTAGGAAAGGAATGTCAGTTAGTTGTATTTCCCCTTCAGTTCTTCAACTTTGGAACAGTATTCATTCTGTGCGTCCTCTTTTGATTTGCCTGTGGAAGACAAGAGACAAAAATAGAAATGCGACCATTACAGAATTTGGAAAAATGAGTTCCAGGGTCTGTTGTTATAAACAGACCAACAGACATACACATGGACGAACAGACAAACGGTAAATGACTTATTATTACTAGCGAAACAATCATTGACATCAGTACGGTATTCGGGAAAAGGTGGTGCAGAAAACTCTAGATTCATGCACTTACATCTAAACGTAATCTGTCAGGGCAGTGTATAGTGGAGCATCACCCCCCCCCCCCTAGTTTTAGTAAGAGTTTTACCGCACTTGCAACACAATAAGGTCATATAAGTGCCGAAGATTAGAGGTGTTACAAGAGAGTAACCAAAACAAAAAGGAGGGGAGATACAGACGATAGATGTTTGATAGGAAAGAAGAAGCAAACCACAGCAGAGCACCCGCCAATCACCCACAAAAAACAACAACAAACAAAACAACAAACGAAAATGAAGTATGACCTCACCAGGAAAGAATGCATGACAGCGAGCACATGGTCGTGAAAGAGTACCATGGTGAGTTGAGACGGTCGGAGAAAACGGATGGCACAAAGAGGACATTGCCCTTTGAACAATTAGTAATGGCGCATGAAAAAGTCAAGCTCGTAGACTTGAGTGTGAAAGGTGCCCTTTGTCATCTTGCAACAGGCCCAACGAACTCTTCTGTTTGTATGTTTGTTTGAGTAAAGAGAAACACATCGACACAATAACGGTCATTTAATGCTGGGGAAAAGTAATACAGAAGTAACAGAGGGGGAAGTAAAAATGCAGGACCTACCAGTGGCGCCCTCCAACCACCCACTAACTCTTTTGTCACAGCCAACATTAATAGTTCTCATTACTTGTGATTCAATGTGAGTGAACAGGACCACGTCAAGGACACCCGTTGGTCCATGCTAAGAACCATTATTCATCTAGAAGGATTGGCGCACCCACCATACAGCACAGAGGCAGGTATTCATTATGCATGGAAAAGTCATGAAAAAGAGCTTATGGTTATCAAAGGTGTCGAGCGAAGACTGCGTGAAACACCTCGCGCCAACACGGCACATACAAAGATATTTATTTCATATTATGTATAGCGGCAGGTACAAGTCGAAAACCGATATATTGAATACAGTAATTGTATCTTAAAACCAGAGACAAGTCAACATAATGACATGGAAATATAATACTAAAATATGCTTGGACGATGC